GAGGTCGAAAAGTCTTGTTCTAAGTCCTTCAGGCTTCTTTTTATTTTACAAAATGTCTGACTAATTGTAGCTTCTGTGCATTATTTAGTCCCATGTATGTAGCAGGTAATTTTAGAAATATTTATCCACATCAGTGTCCAGCAACATATAAATAGCTACAAAAATATCTAAAATTTGAACAGCATTGCTATGTTGCAATTGGCTATTCTTTTTCCTATGACAGCACGAGCAGTCCAGATTGTAATCTGTGAATTTAATGTTCATATTTGCTCAAATTCTCTTGCATTTGAAGTTTTTGTGCCTATGCTTCCCCACATACTCAAATTATATAGTAAACAAATATTGAAGTACATTTATCAATGTTAATGTGATTCAGAAGACATGCAAAGAATATGCTATTATTTACAAGCAGTGTAGTAGCTCTCATGGCATCTTTTGCAGTGTGCAAGTATTCTCCAGGTTGGAAACTAGAAAGAGGTTGTGTTGTTTGCAGCCACGTCCACAGAAAACCAGCTGTGGAGTCTTTAGAGGAATGCAGAACTGTACTCCAGCACTTACTTTTTTACTAATTAGGGAATATTCTTTCATTAACGGTAAACCTAGGACCCTGATAGTTTCAGAAAGTTCCTGCACTGAAGACTGCTGAAGATGGGAGCTGCTGTATCTGCATGCAAATAAGGGGAGAAAAAAAGGTCTCTTAATGAAATTGGATTGATCAAGTAAAGGGCTGGAAAGCTGTGGGACCTTTGGGATTTGGAAGGCATGTACTTCCTTATATGTTACAAAATGAAGCAGAAACCTGATTAGTAAGTTCCTCTAACCTATTTTTATTTAAAATTCATGCAGAACAGAAATGGGATGCAGGAGCTAAACTACCCAGTTCAATTAGCACAGTAAGGCGGAGAGCCAAGGTTTTCCTCACCAAGATCTTCGGGGGCAATTCTCAGGTTTCCTCTTTCCAGCATAGCCAGATGTATTCTCCGCACAAGGCCCAGAGTTGTAATTTTTAGTTCATAGTTGAATACTGGTCTGCGTCTCCACATCTTCTCCAAACATACTTTATCTTTCCTTGGTGTGATGCTCTGCATGTATTTGCAGAATCTCTACAGGTTTGGGTGTCTCCACACACTAGGAGAACTGAGTAGAACTGCATGAATAATGGATACTTTGGTTCAGTGGCTGAACCAAATGATCGGGGAAAAAATGTGGTTTGGGTAGACTGGAAATTAAAACATGTTTTGCTTTATGTTCAGGTGATTGATTTAACCCATTTTTTGCACCATTCTTCAAATTAAAAAATTAAGTTTCTTTCAGGGAAAAAAAAAAAAAAAAGAAATCTCATTTGAAAGAAAGGTGAGAGCATTTAAAAATGTCAAAATAAACTCAGTAACTTTTGCTGACCTTTCCACCCGTCTTTTTGGACAACTTTCCAGTTGCTAAAAGGCTTTAGTTCATTTAAACATGAGGAAATTTTGCTGTGAAGAAGAGGTGTCCCTAAAGGTGACCTTGGCCACTGCTGAAATGGCTTTAAATATTAAGACATCTGGGACAAACCACCACCAGCATCTAGTCTGTCTGGGATTTTTCACATACCTGGCAGATAGAGGAATTTGTCCTTGGAGACCTATCAAAGACCCACTTTGGACCCCTGCAGAGTCAATCTCCTGGTAGAAACTTGGGCTATGGGCATCCTCGCTGGGTACAAGATCCTGCCAAGAAAAACTGGACTGTTACCATTGGCAAGCTATTATCATTGATGAAAATTTCACAAAGAGGGAAACTCTATTCCTCCTGAGGGCAGCATCAGGCATGGTCTAATTTACAGTCTCACTTAATTGCTGTTTGGGACACTAAGAGGAAAAGAAGTGATCGATTGGCCCACTCCTCACCCAAAACAGTTTCCTCAATACGCAAATGCTGCCTGCCATTATGCAAACATTACTTGGCTCTGGTTTACAGACATTAAACCGAACTATATTTACATAGGTTGAAAGCAAGCTGCCTCAAATTGAAAAGGCTATCATGTCTAATCTAGTTGCAGCACAGCCCCAGCCTGCAGCATGACCTGCCTTCCCAATGCAGTCCTGCTCTGTGTTTCTCCTGGGAGCACGTTGTTCAGTGTGGAGTCCTTGTGGGATCACTTGGGCAATCTCTTCATAGCTCTTCACCCCACTTTGAACTGGAGGCCCATATTCATTTTTACTAAGTCTTTTTTTTTAAATTCAGAATTCCACTGAAATAAAGGGAATTTTGACTGGCTTTGAATAAAGTGTTAGAGACAGAGAAACATCTCATCTTTTAAAAACCCCTTATCTTCACCTGCCTACCTTCAACAGAGCTTAGCATATTGGGTAGGATCTTGCAAGTCAGTGTGGGATGTAATGATTAAATTCAGCATCTGAATGTAGTTGGAAGAGAACTGCAGCCTAGACCCTCAGAGACATTGGTTTGCACTGACTATATGGGGAATTTAAGCCTTTACTCTAGGAGTATTAGTTCATTACACATCTAATATGTAGGTAGCTGCAAATTAGGTGCCTAACTCAGATGAGGGTGATTACTTGGTCTGAGGACAGGAAATCACACTAACAAGCACAGGTGAACTGTGTTTAACATGGTTCTCCTTCTGTTATACTTTTATAAGTTTCTATTTTGCTAACATAAATATCGTAGAAACTGTATTTACACTCAGAATGGTCATTAGGTCCCTTTATACTACCATTTTTAAATTCATACTCAGCCTTTAAGATTGCTTTGAGCCTTGATTTATCTACGTACCCTGCATGTTTAATCAATGGGAGCCATGGCAGCAGAGCACACATCACACCTCCTTCCCACACAAGTCCAGGGAGATGTGGAAGTCTTTCTGCAGCCTAACTGTAGTGATCTTAACTTGGTCTGCAAACATTTTACCCGGTCTGTAATGTCTCACTGTGTGTCTAAAGATCAGCCTGGAGTCCACTGTCACATCACGTGCTTTGGGTAGTTCTTTAGCTAGTGTATGAATATGAATGTAAATGTGGGTGGGAAGGCTGCGTGGTTGCAAGACAGAAACACTGTTGGCTGCTGTTGAAACAGATGCATCACATTTATCTTAATAAATGGGTCAAACCTGGCTACAGCCACCTGGTTTTGATCAGGTCAGAAGATGAATTCTAACCTCATTCTTCCATTAAAAGTTACAGGGTTTTTCCATACATGTAATTTCTAGTAGTGTGCCAGCTACTTTGGCATCCTTCATGTCTCAAGAGAAAAACAAGCACCTTAAAACACTAGGTAAGCATATAATGTGGTCTTCTAACTCTGCAAACTTTAAATCCTGAAGGTCAGTTGTTATGATTGCAGGATGAGTATTTGAGATTCAAATAATTTAAGTCTCAAATTGGTTAGAACTACAGCAGCTGAAACATTTCAGCTTTTAAAAATTTTTCCTAAGCCTTTCTTTCTTCCTTCATTTTCATGTTTGGAAAGCTATAGGCCAGACTGACACAGTGGAAGCAACAGCTGGCAAAGATGCAAAGGGTAATTGAAACAGCTTTTAAAAAAGTTTAGAGAATCTGTAGAGCAGTCTCCCTGGGGGAGTAACTGAACCATGATGTTGTTTGTGGGAAACTGTGAGGATGAGTTTTGAGACCACCCACAAAACAGGCAATTTTCAGCAGCACCACTGCAGATTTTGTAATGTGTGAGATGAGAACCACATATTTTTCATTTGAAGTAGGAAAGTGACTGACTGACTGGTGTGCTGATGATGACACCAAGACTGACAATGCAAGTGATTAATTTAAAAACCATAAAATGATACCTGGTTTTGATTTTACAATTGCCGCCTACTAGTTTGTGTGACTTTCATTAATGGATGCCTAAGGTACATTTCATCAAGCCCATAGTCTGCTAATATGTGAATATATATTTTGTAGAATTTTTTTTGGAGGGGGCATTTTCCAATTCACACAAATGAGAATTAATAACTCGGGTCTGAGAACTGCTAGGTGAATTGCCCTATTTTCGTGGATATAACCAGAAGATAAACAGCCCTAGGAGTCAGTAGGGGTTATGTGTGCAAGGAACAAGAAAGTAAGTGTATCCAGGGCATCTTAGTCTCTGTCCCTTCCCCAGTGGACTCCCTCAGCCTGCTCCCCCAGCTCTACCTCTGTTTTTGTGCCAGCTATCTGAGAATGAGGGCATTATTTGAGAATGAAGGTTATCTGAAAGTGCAAGTTATCCAAGGGCTGAGGGATATCGGGATGTACGGGATAACTGAGGGTTTACTTTCAAGCATTTGTACTTTTAAAGAGGGTTGGCTTTTATTCATGACATCAGCTGGTTAATGGCGTATAATTTATTTAATTGCAAAAGTTGCTGTAAGAATTGATTTAGCTAGATGATGTGGCTGCTAGATTAGAAACCTTCTCTGGAGCAAATCTAGAATATCTTCCTCTTGCCTTTATGTCTTGCCAAGCAACCCTACATCATCTCTGATGATTACTCTGATTTCTTGTCTGCAAACTAAAAAAAAAAGTGAAGACGATACATAAAGTCTCAAAATAGAGACAAACTGGTCTAGGGAGAGGCTAGGTCAGCTTCCTTTCCCTGCAGGAGTCACCTGGTTAAAGACATTGAAACTACATAAATATGAATGAAACTTGGGCTGAGGCAGTTCTAACAATCAAAAGTCAATGCTTTTAGCAAAGGAAAACAAGCGGTTGACTGCTTTATTTACTCTGTGTATGTTGTGTGAATATACAAAAATCTGAAATCTTCAGTTAATAATTAAACTGGTAAGTCAATGCTTATTAAGATCAGCAGTAGCTATCCTGAGTAAATTTTGTTATTTTTTTTTCTGGTTGTAACAATACTGCTGATTTCTGGCCGGGATCAAGACTATTTCTAGAAATGTATGTTTAAAGTGCCCCTGCTTAATTCTATATTCATTCTGGCCTGGCACTGCCTTCTGCCTGTCTTTCTAATTTTTCTTATCCTTTTGTTTTCCCCAGCAGAGGTGACTGTGACAAGAACAAACAGCTGCCAGTCAGACAGCAGTGGATTCATGGAGGAGCTGTCAGAGACTGTAGCTTTACAAGTAAGAAATGAACAATAGTCATTGGTAGGTCTGTGAAAATTCTGTAACCCTGGCACAAGTAACATAAAAAAAATCATGGAGTAGCAAAAGCTTCATGAAAACAAATTAATCCTCCTAGAAAACCCCAGAAGGCAAGAAGCTTTCTCAGAACTTTGTGCAACTTTTTCCCCACACTAAGGTAAGGGTTGTGCAAGGTTACAGGCATTAGAGAATAAATATTACAAGAATCTTTGGTTCACTGGGTATTTGAAGATGTCCTGGGGGTGCCCAGGGCAAAATAGTGGTGGGCAAACCATTGTGATAAAACAAACGTAGTATTGAATTTATTTTTTTCCCCCCATTCAGAATACATCTTTGTCAGGAAGAATTAATTTTATTTCTGATATCCACAATCAAGAAACAGGTCTGTCACACAGGAACGTTTTTCCTATGTTAAATCAAGACTTTCAACAAAATCCAGATGATTGTGTTGCTAAGGTCTTCATCCCCGCTTGCAAGAGCATTTTGGCAGTACCTAGATCAACAAAAGCATGTAGTGACCAGGGAGAAGAGACTCATCTGCTGGTGACTGCAGAAAATGGCAAGTATCAGGCATATAATGCTGAGCCACAGAGTTTTGTCCAAGAAATGTTATGTGACGTGGACAAGAAAGAGAATAGAACTGAAGGAAAACAACTGGAAAAAGAGAGGTGCATGAAAGAGTGTAGTCATCATTTTCAGGGTGATACTCAAGATGAAGGGGATCCTAGTTCCTTCAAACTTGATTGTCATTTATATTTTAGTACAGGACACAAAAAGGTGAATGCAGCCTTCACTGAACTGAGTGATATAAGCCCTGCAGTCATCAGCAAGAGCAAAATCAGAGGTGAAGATGAAGGTGAGAGGTGCTGGCTTGAAAAGGACACTGGAGTTGCATATTGGGAACATGTCCATGGAGGTCATACAGGACACATTAAAGGACCATGGGGTGTGGAAGTGGTCAGTGAAGATGGTAACCCACTTGCAGTGAATGAGGTGACAAAAGGGCATAAGTTCTGTAAGACGGATGGTGATTCAAAAAATACACAGTGGTCCCCCAAAATGGGGCCCTCAGAAACTCTGCAGTGGGGCTCAGCAGCACAGAGTGGGAGCAGTGCAGCTTCAAGCTGTTCTCTGAAAGTATCTCAGCAGCATCCTTCAGGCCTAGTGGAAGGGCCCCGATTAAGTTCATCTTCAGATCAAGAGACTGGTAGCATAGGGGAGATGTTAGGTGCTAACAATTCAGAAGAGGGAGACACTGTCCAAAACGGAGAAACGGCTTTTGGTCCTCTGAAATCTGTTACTGTTCAGATGTCTTCAGGGCTGGAGTTCACTCCAAGAACGAAGGGCACAGGCCAAAATGCTCCTCACGGCGAGAGCCTCGCGAGGGAAGATCCTGCAGACTTCTCTGACATGTCAGCGCACTGTCCTGAGGGGGGTCCTCTGGCACGGTCAGACCCAAGGGCTTCGAGGGATGGAGCGAAGCAGACCGCTGAAGCCTCCAGCCAAACTGACATCCCCACCAGGAAGCCCAAGCAGCCACTGCTGCTTTCTCCACCCCGCGCCCACCTGACGAAATCGGCCTCCCTTGACAGCACGCTTTGGGGCAAACGCAGGCTGGGCTGCTGGGGTGAAGCCTCCGGTGCCAGGGGTGCGTGGGGCAGTCACTGCTGCCACTGCTGCTGCTGCCACGGGTGCTGCCCGTGGGCCTTCCCCGGGGCTGTCTCTCCCCAGCGCCCCACGGGCTGTGGCTCAAACCAGTTCTTGAACACCCTGATGCTCCTACGGGACGCTGCAACGCGTAATCTTGCTCCGGTGAGTACGTTTCTTCATGTATGTGCACAGCTGACACATTTATGAGCTAAATGTACAAACTGCCTTTTCCTTTCCTCTCCTGGCATGCTTGCTTCTTTAGCGAGACATCTCTTGGGAATGTAAAGGAGAAAATGGATGGGGAAAGAAGCATTCCCTTCTAGTCAAAAATGGCAAATATGTCTGCATACCTTCTGTTTTGTTGGGCTGCTTCTTTTAGTAACTTGTGTACATCAGTTCAGTCTTCAAATGGTTACTGTATACTGAGTGATAAAGTTTACGGGTCAAATGAAGAGATGAGAGATAAGAATGAGTTTCAGTGAGTTCCAGGGAATCAGCTGAGTTACAATAACTGAGTAACTTATTGGACCTCAGAAAATGCAAGGTTACATGATTTAGTGTGATCCTCTTAACAAACGATAACTCGTTTAGGTTATATTACTTAATGTTTATTAAAGACTGGCTGTGAACATCCAGATACATACCATAAGCCTAACTGATCTAAATCAAAGTGAATTGCAACTTCTCAGAGCCTCAAGCCATTTTACCATGGTAGAATAAGAAGCTTGCACTACATCTAAAGTCTTGTCTAAGATGAATATTTACAATAAAAATACTGATAGTAAAAGGTCACCAGATTTTCTATTTCTTTGTCTAGAATTGCTAAGAGTTCCCAAAAGCTGAGAAAGACTCAGGATGTGTTGGGGAAGAAAGTAAGTGAGTGAGTTAGGAGTGGCTTTTACAACCTGAGAAAAAAGTAGACGGAGCATCATAGCTCCTGCTAGTTTGCAGGTGTTTTCATTTTTCCTCTTCAATTTGCTCTTCATAAGGAAATGAAACCTGAACTGTTGTACAAATTGGGGAAGGAAACTATTAGATAAAAGTTCCAGAAAGTGGAACTGGTGAATTTTATGCTGCTACATCATTGAATATATAAATCTGCAATGTCTTTTCTTCGAATGATATGTTGGAAAATATACCTTTTGTTGGCTATCTTGCTGTTGCCACAAGATGGCAGTGATTCAGTACCTTATGCTGGACAGGGAAGCCTTTTCTCACTGATTCACTACTATTTTACCACTTTTCTAACGGGGGCTAATGGTGATTTGTCTTCTCTAGTCTGTGGAAAGGGAACGTGGGAGAAACAAGCTTTGCACCGCACTGTCATCCAAGATCTGTTTTTAGGGATGTGGCTCTGCATCCAGGACTGTGCAATAAGTGAGTGTGTTTTCTGAATATTAGTCACTCTGAAGAGATTACACTCATACCTACTTTGTACTTTGCATTACAGGTGAGGTAATTTCTACATCTTTTACTGAGAGAAGCTTGCTCATGTTACATCCCTTTTACCAAGGGCATGCATGGAGAATGCAACCACCATGGAGCCACTGTTAGTACATTTACCCTCTTTACATGCACCTTACCTCAAACAAGATCTTGCATGAGAGTAGTCCTGGAACAGTTAGTCCCCCCTCCACCCCTGCTGAGCATGAATTCTGAATTAACCTATGTGAACTTGTGCTCTGCAATGTACTCAGAGAGCCTGTATCTTATCTATAAGGTCTGTCACGACTTTTTACCAAACCTACCCATGTTGTGCCTTTTGGATTTTTTGAATGGTGCTTTCCAGATTTCTCTTAGCCTTGATGAACCACCTCAAAATTTGTCTGTGGCTCATCGAATTCTTCCTAGTGACCTGAAGGACAGGAGCCCTTCAAGCTCATTTAGGTACACTTTTTTGATGGCTATAGATCCTCACTCTGCTCTGATTTGGCAGTGGGTAGAAGAAATCACAATTACTATGGGAGCACTGCTCACTTGCACCCCATACACTCCCATTTAGGAACAAGAAAACCCTCTGAGGATCCAGATTAAACTCTGGGGTAAAGGGGTAAATGGGCAGTCAGGCAATGCTCAGTCTGAAGGTGCTCATAACATGTGTGGCTGCCTCAGTGATGTGTGATTGCTGCCCTGACGCACAGCATTGAGTTGTGCTCCACATGGAGCAGACACTTAGGAGACACTCACCTCCACTGCAGTCACAGGACTGGCCTTATCAAACTATTATTAGTCTCTAATTAGCCCTTTATGGTGCAATCCCATGGCTGTTGGGGCTAGATTTTTTTAAATTTACTGCTACAGGATAATTTATCCCTGGGTCAGGCACATCAGGAGTGTGCCTGACATAGTAGCTGCATTGAAATGGAGATTGAAAATGAGGTTTCTCAAATGCATGTGGGGAACATCTTTTGCCCTCCAGCTGAAGCTGATCCCCTAGCAGGGAGGGCTTCACCATGTTTCAGGCCTTGCTGGGTCTGAGGGACATGGTCCAGCACACAAAGAGATCATCAAAGGAGATAACTGCAGGAATCCAGAGAGACTGGGCATTTCCACGCCTTGCAAACATGCCTTTTGTTCTCTGTCAGTTACAGTGGTCAGCAGTGGAGTGCAGGTTTCTACACTGTGTTCCCATGGCTTACAAGAAGCCAAAATTTGCTAAAATGGGAACATGCCAAACACCTTGCACTCAGAGCAGTTTCAGCATAATAGCAGGGCATGATTTCAGAAGGCAGATGTTATTATCTCCAAAATAATTTGGATGATGCTGCCTGTATTACTGCCCCAAAAAATCAAGGAAAGGTCTTTAATGTGGCTAGAAACTCAAACACTGATGTATTCCAGTTACAGGATTTATTTTGATGTCACTAGAGGGCTGCCATTGTACTAGTCCTGTGCTACAAAGTAGTAACTTGCAGATCTGCCTATACCTTTTCATGTGTCATTCCTGCTCATTCATTTCCCCTGCCTTGAGACATTCCTGTAGACATCAGGGTAGATGTAGATGATCAAACTTACTGGATACCTTCTCTCAATGAAGAGTAATGGTCACATTTATGACATAGATACTCTGACCTATTACGGGTGTCTACTTTCAGAGCAGAACAATTGCTCTGTTGCAGTACTTGCATGTACATCTGTTACAGTAAACATCTGCACTTGGTTAGATAAATCCAATTCTATTTTCTAACTGGTAATAGATGAGAAACTATCAGTGTAATGCTTAGCAGAATCCATCATGAAAGACAATTTTCCTTCTCATAGTTCTTATTTATCTTCCCTCTCTCCCCCTCTCCTTCTTTCTCTTTTTAAAAACAGTTTCTAACTTCCAGTGAACAGTAATTTAACCTATCATTATTCCATAGCAACTCATTCTGCTCAAATATAATGTCTGACAACAGTCCAATAACATCAGAATTTGGCATGTTACGTCAGATCTTTGATCAAAGTCCTTTTCCCCTTCAATGGCAAAAATTAAGTTCTCATTGGTTCAAGTAGTGCCAAGACTTAATCCTACATGCTTTGGGAGAAAAGGTGGTGACTGGGATGTGAATGATGCACCCAGAGCAAACTCACTTAAAGTGCCATCTGGACTTTCACAGCTCACAGAATCCCTGTTGTGCAGGTAAGAGGAGGACTCCTACCATTCAGGCTGTCAGCTTCAAATGCACTCAACGTGGAAGTGCTCAAAGAAAAGCAGTAAAGTGATGGGTCTTCTTGCTTTTCTGTGTAGTGCACCCTCCATGAAGTAGAAGCAATGAAGAGCTCCTGCCAGCACTTCCAGGAGAAGTTGGATGAGATTGAACAACACCTGACCGAACAGCAGGCGCTGTTTTTTGGTGCTGTTCAGGATGAAGGAAGGTGATGGCAGCCCAACACACTTACCTAAATCCAAAACTAGCATTGGTAGGAGTCCGTGGGCATGTGCAATGTGTCTGGCCACTCGTGTTACCACAGCACTTCTGATCAGTGAGGTGCAGCTGTGGGCATCCCGCAAGTGGAAGAGAAATGTATTGTGATGTGGGTTTTGCTCAGAGGAAAGTCCCTGTCCACACTGTTCAAAGTTCTTAAACATAAGCATTTTGAAGGGGAAGATTGCTCTATAGATGTATGTTAGATTTTTAGCATGGAAATGCTATGCTTTAATAGCTATAGAAATGCAGGAACAGACCTCAGTCAGCTGGAGCTTGGTGTCCAGGTCAATGCTGGGTTCAGGGAAGGAGGTGGAAGCGATCTCTGACAAATAAGTCCCATTAGGCCATGTACTTCATGCTCATGATCAGTGCAGGGATGATGCCAGAAAATTTGAACTAGCTCTTCATGGATTCAGCCCAAGTTCACAGTGATTACCAAGAAGCGTCAGGTTCACAAAAAGTTACAAGAGGCTTCCAGTCTTGAGCTGTCTGAAAGCAGGACATTTATGCAGTCCTTGTGCTGGTGACAAATCACAAATTATAAACCTGCCCAGACTCAAGCTGGCTCTGCAACTACAACGTGTTTAATCTTGTAAATGGGATAGTCAAAGAAATGAGAGTCAAGCAGATGAGGGCTGTTATTTATCATATTGTAAGGTATCCTGTGGTCATGTGTAAAAACAAGACTGCAGCAGAAAGAGGTACAGTGTTATGCTGGGGCTGAGGAAGAGGAGGGTGTTAACTGCTCACTCGAGTGTGTTTTTTTCCACTGTACCTATAGGGAGGAAGGCAGACACCTGCAACTCTTACGACGAGCCGTTCGTCAAGAAGTTACAGAGCTGGAATTTCGGTTGAACGATCAAGCTTGCCAATTTGGGAAGAGCATCCTTCTGGTACGTTGCACAGGCCATCACTCTGGGTCATGTGGGGAGAGTTTAAAGTCTGCCCTGTTATTCAGTGTTCAAAGTGCTAACTGAGATACATCTGAACAACCCTTACAGTGCTGAGAAGAGAAGGATTTCCAGTAACAGACTTACAGTTTACATCTCGGACCCTCTTTCTCCTTGGCTATGCTGCTTGAGCTTAACTACCCAGGAAAAGTGACAATATTTATAAAAGTGTCTGTATCCTATTCTGCTCTTGGTTTCCAGAATAAGGTGACAGGCAGCCAGCATACATAATTATTGAGAAATGGTTACTAGTCTAGTTCTTTTCTGGACTGGTTCTCTGTTTGATAAGGAAAGGTAAAGAAATGACGGTCAGGGGACTTGTCTTTGATTCTTCCCTGACAAGTTTGGGTTAGAGGGTCAAGACTGCAATGACCATAGGTAGAAGTCCATTTGCAGATTTTCCATTAGGCAATTAGATCTATTTGTTGGAATAAAATGTCCTTTAGGCTTTTCTTCTCCTTTTTATGGCAACACCTCATTTGCCAGATATTGCATGTCTTCTTCGGACCAATCAGAAGAAGCAGGCATGCTTCATATACTCTTGTGTATCCTTTTTGATTCCTTTTATTATATTTTTATTACTGCAATATGTTTTTCCTTCTATTTTCTCTGCAGCAGCTGGACCAATTACTAGCAGAACAATCCCATCTGTCTTCTGAGCTCGGACTCTCTGATTGGAAGGGAGAAAGAAAAGCCCAGAATAAACAAGAGTTTCCAGATGCTGCTGACACTATGCATCCTCCAAGTGGGTGCTCAAAAGTGGTGCTCCAAAGAGCTCCTAGCAAAAACAAGACATTAAGAGGCTTGTGCTCTGCCCCACAGCTGGGGGCACCCCCAACACAGTTTCCTACCAGGACAACACCTGAACCGAGTTCAGCTGAGTCTGCCCCACAGGAGCTCTCTACTAGTAAAAAGGAAATAAAAGGATCTCCACAAGCAAAAATGGACTTTAAGGCATTTATACACAATGTAAGGAGATATTTCAGCCTCACCCTCAAGGTTTTAAGTGGAAGGGATCGCTGACCTGCAGTGTAGTTTTACTATTCTGTGTCTTGTTGCCACAGCCTAGATCAGGACCCTTTTCCTGCTAAGCCGTGCATTCAACCATGGGGATGGAGCCCGTGTTTCAGGGCACTTCCAGTCTGCACAGGCAACGCAGGCAGAACTGGGGCTGGACCTGCCTTGGTATTTCTCAGTAAGCTGTGGCAATGATCTAGGTGCTCCAGAGAGAAGAACATAAAAATACGTGGATGGTATTTAGCTTGCTTGAACTTTGAATGCAACTGTTTGACTAATTAGTATATTCAACCCTCTCCCACCATGTGAAATTAGTAATTTATGGCTTCAATTTGCAGAAACAATTATCCAGTTTTACAAGGGCAGTAAAGGCAATGAACTGGAAGGTTTGTTGTTTTTCTGAAGAAATTTGAAGTCAGCATTTCTGACTAATCTGATCTCACAATGTAACCATAAAAAATTATTTGCCTGGATTTTTAATATAAAATATGCCTAGAAAATATCCTAGATAGCTGCCTTATCATTCTGCCTAAGCATGTGTCCCAATTTTCAAAAGGATTGATCTTTCTCTTAAATGAAAAATTAGGGTTAAATTCTGCATAAACGCAATGTAAATACCATGGGAGGGAAAACTCTCTATTGTAGTCTTATACTACTTTCTTGATTTATGTTGATATTACCACTGATATTATCAAACAGAATCAGGTTCCTTAGCAGATGATTCAAAGAATGAGAACCATAGACAGCGAGGAGCGAGGAATTCAAATATCCAAGATCATGTTTTGTCATCTTTTTCACCAATTTACTTCTAAGACTTGTCTTGGTCATGCTCTCAACATACAAAGAAAATAACACTTTTTTCTTTTTTTTTTCCAGTTGAAGAAATCTTTCCAAAATTCTTTAGGTAATGATTCAGCAGAAGGAAAAGACTGACGGAGGAGATACTTAAGGATTTTTTTTTTTTAATGGTTGTGGCCTTTTTTCTGAATCAGATGGTGTATCACAGAAACAAAGGAACAAAACATTGCATTATAGAAAGTTCTGGTCACAACAGTTTCATTTACAATGAGATGGCTGCCTAGAAAATCAGGCATTTTTAAAGGATGTTTTGAAGAGAGGTGTTGTGTATTTTGCTATTCTGTGATTGTGAAACTTGCTACGCTCCTATTGGCAATCATATGCAATAGGGATGTTCTTCGAAAAATCATTTAAAAGGAAGAGGAGAGGGCTTATTTTTGAGAATAAACTTAAGAACTTGGAGACAGCCCAAGAGATACCACTAGATGGTATTCTTCTTATAGCCTGTTATTTTAACACAGTTCTTCAACCAATATTAATCCTCAAGGCCAAGCTGCTTTGTATAGTCCTAGCCACATTCTAGCTTATAACTTACTGCTAACTTGCCTCTGACTAATTTTGTGAGTCTTGTACCTACTGTCAGGATGGAATCAGAAGCTCACTGACATCACATAAAATGTTAAACTCCATTTCTGTCAAACTTACTGTGGATAGTCTCCTGGCTGTCCTCTTCCTTTTCATATTTGCTTCATATAAATCCAATTAAAACCAACATGAGATGAGAAACACGGGATTTCTACATTATGAGCCTTGAATCAGAATTCTGGTTCAGTTTTCCGAGGAGTGTGCAGAGACTGGATTCATGCAGAAAAAGCCATGAGAAAAGACCTCTCAGGTTTGGATCACAGCAAAGAAATTCAACTGGTTCATTTTCAGAGCAGTGCAGTTTTGTACTACTGCTTTCAATTTAGCACTTCCCAGACTGTGAGATGTCCTACTGGCTTGTTTGTTTAATACTCTGGAGGGATCTTAGATGTCATTTAGGCTTTGGTGTTGCAAATCACAGCTCTGCAAAGGTGCAAATAGAAGTAGCATTTGCACATGTTTAAGGAGAAAATGGAGTCAAACATGCTGAGCAGCCTCGAGGCTCCCTGCACCTCCACGTTTTCACAGATGTTCAGGGTAATAAAATGATTGGGGGAGAGAGGTACATAACATAGGAACTGACAAGATCCTCCACAGCCTGCTGGGCCATGAATTTTACTGGTTGAAATTTGCCCCTTTCTTGAGACCCCGCATGGGATTTGTACACCACACTATCAAGTGTTGAAGAGTTTATACATCAAGATTTGTGATTGTGGCAGTATCTTCAGGCAGCATGCAAACAGGACCAAAAGATCCTTCACCTAAGTTTTCGTGGAACAAGTGATAAATTTTGCTTAGTATTTTTGCTCTCCACTGGCTTATGAACTGCACTCGCAGATGCTGTGCCTCAGTTTGTGGAGGAAGGCAAATAAAGATCATGATGAAGGACATAGAATGATGCCAGTGCTGAAGGTTTCCTGGAAGAGAGGATGACTAAGAAGCTTCTTTGCCTCAGCCACACCAGGGCTGTGATTCGTCCCAAGAAACAAGAGAGTTTTTGCAAGCATCACGGAAGCACAATGCATAAAAGATCTGTAGCTATGTGATGGTGCAACCACTGTCTGCCTGTCTTATGTCTGTATGTACAGAAGATGGCATTGGCAGGTGGCAGTGGTTCTTGATTGGAAAGATCCCGGAGGACTTCTGGAGCCATTTGAATTCTACCATTTGTATTCTCAACCAGGACCGAATCTGACTCCTGCTAACAAAACTTTCCTGTTTGAATGGTCTCTAGATTGGTAGGTGCAGTCCAGTTCCTCATTTCAATTTAATTATAAAATCATTTCATGCAAGCCATAGACAGGATAGGGTTCCCCCATACACAACATGTAGGCATTCACGAATAGGTACCATTAACTTGTTCTCATTTATAGCTATATAACCTTTCAAGCCCTCAATGTTATTTTAACAGTTTAACTGTAACCCTGTAGCAATAAAAACCAGACTAAGCAATGGGAAAGGAAAAAATCTTCTGACTTATCCTAGAGCACAGAGTGATGTTTGACTTCATAACTCCTCCAAGCATGTTACTAGGATGGCTGGGTCAAGCCTCATAATGTTGCTGTTGAAGATGGGAGAGAAAAGAAAACATGCAATAATTTTGTGATCAGGAAAGTCCAGGGGTAGCACTGGTGAGTGTGACAGCCAGCTGTGTACCCACTTAACCTCACAGTGTTGCCAACCTTTTAAACTCTAGCATTCGTTTCCCTTTAGGGCAGTCATACGCAAACATGGTGGGAACCTTAATGATAGCTCCACAGAATTAATGAATTAATAACATATCTGATTGAGTATCATAATTTCTCTAGCTAGCTAGAACCATACAAATTAACTTTCAGACTCACAAGGCAGCAGGTCATATCTTGTGAGGAGGGGCTGTATTACTTGTGAAAAGCATTAGCACTAGGCAGTTTACAAGTTTGAAATCTGAAGAAGACTGACCCTCTGACACTGCAGGACTTCTGACATTTAAAAAAAAAAAAAAAAAAAAAAAAAAAGAGTATTTGAGTAAAAGGCTGGTTTCCTTCCACAACTGAAATAGGTAGAACCATAGAATCATTGCTCTGTTTCACAGGACTACTGAGGCCCCACAAAGGTCCATGCAGTATAGATCAGACCTGTATGGAAAAGGGTAAGATGCAGCGGTGGTTCATCTCCCTGCTCTTCGGCATTCTTTCAGCACCTCTTGCATGCAGAAACCCCAAACTGCCACCTGAAATCCTTGTAATTCCCTGTTAAAGGCTCATCATTTCCTCTGCCCTGGTCCCAATTTCTGGAGGGCAAGGACAACACACAGCCTCATCAAAGCAGGAGGGAGGAAAGGAGAGGGGTGGGTAGGCAGGAGGTCAATTAAAAAATGGTTTCCTAACAAAGATAGAAAATTCACAACCTAGTGGTTGCTTTTGCCCACCCTAGTTCAGTAGCAATCTGTGTCACTTGGTTTTTACTTCTTTTGTCATTGTCTTTTGCCTTCATTGGTTTTCCCTGATGCCCCATAAATCTTTAAACCCTGAAGCTAAAAGAGGCTGCATTGTGCACCAGCTTGAATATTGATTTTGCTAGAGAGTATAAAATCTAGAGAGATAATAAGGAAATCCATCTAAGGTACCCTGCCAAGGGCTCCCATTAGTTGCTTTACCAGGCATCAATTCAATAAACCCTCGAGAGCAGCACATGAATAAACATCAGAGCCTTTCTGGCATGTTAATGCATCAGTTGCCTAATTGTCAATGCTGCCAACAGACTCCAAGAAAAGTACTATCCTGGGAGTTCAGCCCCTTCCAACTTCAAGCCCAAAGAAGATTTGACACTGGCTTAGAAGAAGGCAGGGCTGTGGAGAGGGTCTGTGACAGCCAAATAACATGGGCATGGCTGCTTTAAATGTGGTGTTGACCTCCTGCTGGGGGCACAGCCCAGCTTGACCCCATCTGCCTACCTGTTGCACCTCAGTGCATGGTGATGAGGTGCCCCAGGTCAGGCCTGGGGTTTTCCCTATGCAGGATGGTAAAAAGAAAGAAAAAAAAAAAAGTCTCAAATCTTGGCCTCAAGCAATAGAAATAAACTGGTCCTGAGCTTCTAGATACGAATGACTTTCTCCTCTAGGGCTACCAGCAAGATCTGGGTGACAAGAACACAGTATCTTATTCCAGGCTCTACCATTCATTTTCCCTATGACCAGGGCCTTTTCCTTTACCCCATGGGGACCCTTATTCCTGGCACAGCTTCCTTCTGCCTTATCTAATGAGGTTTTAAATTCCTTGCAGAGAAGTTATTCTCTCCTAATGTGTTCATACGGTGCCTGGCACAATAGGGGCCTAATATCAGTTGGGACCTCTACTTGCTGCTGTGATAATAATTTTATGAGCAGCCTTTCATTAAGATCCACTGCTACTTAAGAAACAGCTGCAGTGTCACTTTATAAGGCTGTTGACTGTTTTAACTCCCTCTGCTCCAGAAACAAGGTTTTGATCTTCCCTGTAGAAATGGAGTATGGGTAAAAGGCTGAAGTGTGAACAAAGAGGCCATTTTGCTATCAAATGGGAAAATTTAGAATCCAAACACCTGAAACTTCCAGGAATTAAAAGAATTTGAAACCACACTGTTCTCACCTCTCTGGAGAGGTGCATTTTAATTCATCCATCTTCATTTTAATCTTTTCCATTGTCCTTCAATGAGCACATCACTCAATTAGCACAGATCACAGCTAGCAAGAGGGACACAGGTGTGTCCCATTGAGGCTATTCAACCTTAATACTGGAAACATTTATTACCACCACAAATAATACGGAACACAGGCAGCCTTCTCCTGATTTCCCCCCCCCCCCCCATTAAAATTCAAAAACCCGTTAGGACATTAGAGCTTATAGTTAATGATAGTAACAGAAGCAGTGAGGAAACAAGAAGCAGGAGAGATCAAAAGAAGTTTTTTTTCCCCCACCTCTTAAGGGAGTGTGAAGGCTCTCTGGGGCCTCACCTGAAGATGATGACTCATGTATCCTTTGCATATCACTGGCAAGCTTTGGCCCTGTCACCTGCAAAAGGCTTCTGCAAATACAGACAGGTAAAATATTTTTGCTCTTCTGTGCTCTCTTCTCAGGCAGCTGCCTCCAGGAATGGCTGCAGTAAGTATTTATTAGAGAGACTTCAGGTAAAGCAAGCATCTGCCAAGGGTCCTGAAAAGGATCAGGATGAAGGTCCTGGGTGGTAAAGAAAACTGTGGTACTCACCTCGACATTCCCATACTCCATCCCATTTCAAGTTAACCGTATGAATTTTTGGGAAACTGCTTTAGGTCAGCTCCCAGTCTGTGAAGACACATCTTTCACAAGCAGATCTTCCTTTCCAACAGACAACTTAAGTCAAGCTATTGTAGAACTACTGTGAAACAAGGTGAGTGGGGGAGAAAAAAGTCTGTAGTTAAGTTTTTTTCTTGCTGGTAAATTAGCTTTTTAAAAGTTGACTGGACTTTCCAGAGGTTCTTCTAAGCTACTGACAGAGAGAGAAGTCGTGGAGAGTAGGAAATATGTATAGTCACTTAGGAAAGAAAAGAGAAACCTAATTACTTGAAGACTGGAGTCTACTGTATCAGTGATACTTCTGTAATGTCCTGCATAAGAGCTCCACTGCCCTTAATTTTTGATCTACAAGGAATAGCAATAATGAGAAAATGTTAGTCTTGTTATATCAGGAGAGCTGTTCCAGATCTAGGGTTGCTCTAACCAGAGCAGAGCACACTGGAATCAGGGTAGCTTGGTCTCCTTGCATCCTTATCCCATTTAACAAATAGAGAAGTGGAAGCAAGGACACATGGGTCATCCCAAACCAGGCCAGGCAAATGCAAGAGGTGCCTTTCTTGGGCTCAGATTTCCTACTGAGCTAACCCATGGATGGATGGATATATGTGTGTGTGTGTGGCTGAGGCTGGAGGGGAGCTGGACTGAGGTGTTCAGGTAAATTTGGAGCAGCTGGTGGCAAATACATCTCATTCTGAGAGCTGATGGGCATTGGGAAGCAGTTGCTGCCAAAGCACGTGGCAGCTGGGCTCGCTACCACCCAGGCAGGAGGTGAGCAAAGGGGCCTGGGAGCAGCACTGGGGAAATGTTGTAGCTGTGGGTGGGACAGGGGAACTTGAAAATGAGGGGCAGGCATAGAAAGAAATGGAGAAAGAACAATAGTTGAGCTGGTATAATGAAAGTGAAAGGAGACCTGAAACTAGACAAAGGAGGGATGAAGCAGAAGTTCATCTATGTGTAGATTCATGTGTTTAAAGGTAGCCCTAGTGTATTTATTAGCCCAATACATGCTGTTCCTTCAATTAAATAAGTAAGCTGACTTAGTCCTCACTCAGAAACCCAGGGAAATAAATTTACTTCTTGTTCTTCCCAATGATGCTTATGAGCACTTCAGGATCACAGACTAGTAAAGAGGTTAAGGACCATGGTCAGATTAAGATGAAGCACATAACAGTCAGTTTAAGACTATCCAAGTCCTCGATATAGTACCCAGTGGCTAAGAACACAAGAAATGGGCTACAGGGCCAGACCACCTTCAATAGGACTATATCTTTGGCAGAGAAAATAGGAAATGTTTTTCAGGGAGAGCCTGATGACTTTTTTGTGGGCTTCTCTCCTCATATGTCCCCAGCAGCCACAATGGTTCAATAAGGGACATTAGAGTCTATGTTTTTGCCTGTTCACATTAGCATCTGTTAACGTTACAGATTCACAGAAAGATGGGTTAAGAAGGATGTCTCGAGATCATCTAATCCAATGTCCCACTCAAAGAGGGACTAGCCTGCCGACTTCTCCATTAACATGTTTAATCCTTTTTGTACCCTCCTACCATGAGCTCCCACTATTTCCTGTGGAAACAAAGTCCAGAAATTTGCTAATTTTTGTGAACTCTTCTTGTTTTATCGGTTTTAAACTGATCTCCCACTTTTGATGAATGGCCTCTAGCTCTAGAACTGTAGGACTTGGTGCAAATGCAGTCTGCATTCACCTTCACCACTTAACTGATTTTATAACCCTGAGGAATCTAGCATGGCCAAAGTGAAGGGTCCCAGCCCTTCTAGTCTTTTCTCTCCAGGCAATTCCTCCTTCCCCTTAACCTTTTCCACCCAAATCTAGCTGGATGACAAAAGTTTTCTGGATTTTCAACTCTGTACATTTCTTTCCAAAGCTGTTATAAATTCCAGGGAATTTTTTACTCCAGTCCAATTTACAAAGCCAGCTTTATTATAACTACTCATTTCTGCTACCATTCTCCAATCTCACTAGAAAGAGCTGAGTCTGAAGCTGTTGCCCTCTTCTATCAGAAATATCATAGAAGAGAGCCAAGAGTCCTTATGAATTTTGAGCGGTAGCACCATAGCCTGCAAACAAATGTTCTGCCTCGAGCACTTCTCTTTTTTCTGAGTCTTTTCTTAAAGTTCAACTCTTGCCAAATCCAAATCTTTACTCAATTGCAAATATTCCTCCATCAATCATCACTGGAAGTGTTATGGAAAACATACAGTTTCTTCCCTTTATCAAAGTCAAAAAAATAAATACATGGAAGAAGGAGGAGAAACAGGGTTGACAAAAGATGGGACTAGAATGAAGACAGGAGGAAGAGAGAGAAGCACAGTGAGAAAGAGAAGGAAAGAAGGAAGAGGAACACAATCAGACGTACAGATGGCTGCAGACAGGAGAAGCAATAAGCCTGGGTCCCTGTGCTAGGGGCTGTGTTTATGTGCCAGAGTGGCTATTGGGAAAGGATATTCTGACTTTCCTGGGAAACCACAAGGAAGGCAGCGAAGGTCACAGATGCTCCTTTCCCACCTGATGCAGCTTCTGGACAGTAGGTACCTACCCATGGTGAAGAAAAGCCAGGGATGGACATCAGCATCCAGACAGAATTAGTTTGCAGATCCTGGCTACGACTCGTAGATGGATAAATGATTCTCCCCATGTGCTGTATGACTGTGTAGACACTTCTCTGTTACTGTTTTGCCCTTAGTTTACAGTTTTACTCCTTTACACAGTTTTACAGTTTTACTTCTTTACTTCTGCTATGGGAGCTTTACTGATTTTTTTTTTTTTTTTTAATCATTTTCTCTCAGATTCAGTCTTCTTTTGTGCTCTGTGCTGTAGCCAACCTGTCAGGTAAAGCTTTAGAGTCCACAAAGACAACCTCAGAGAGTCTCAGTGGGAATATTTAAGCAAAAGGCTGCGTTGGTCTTCTGCTCAGCAGCTAGCACTGTGAGATTGCAGCAAATTCAATACAAGAGGGATAATGTTAACACAGTTAAGCATGAATTTAGACATGTCACTGCTAATCCCTAGATTAACAAGAGGGAAGGAAATGTGTCAAAATAATAAAGTACCTATTAAAAAGGCTGTAGAGACAGACACTGATCCATAGTTAGCACCGATAGATGACAGCACATCGTCAGTGAAGCGTGAGCCGTCATCTGGCAATGCTCTGTTCTGCAGAAACCAGATGAGTTAGGGACTTATGTCAGACTCACTGGGGATTTCCAGACATTGAAAGAAATAAATAAGGAAAGTAAATTTGGAAGAAAAATACTTTTTTTTTTTTTTTTTTTTTTTTTTTTTTTTTTTTTTTTTCTTAATCCTCACCTTAATTTGGGGTCTTTAGGACTTCATCCCTTTGTCCTCTGGGTCTGCAGGAGAAGTGACAATCCAGCACGGTACTCATACAGACTGTGTGAAGTTGCTGTCACAGTCACCAAAGCCCTTTGGAGGCACAAATTAATTACTCTCTTTAGATCACACAAAGAATGAGGATAAAGGTCTCAGAAGAAGATAGGTAGGAACCCCAAAAGTCTAAGGCAGATGGAGAGACTGAGAGGCTATGTGAGACACAGGGCTTCTCAGGCACTAATCCCATGCTGCTGATTTAGTTTATCAGCTAGCAGCTTGTATGTGAAACTCTGGCTAATGTTGCTTCTTAATGTTTGTTAGTGGCTATGCTTTCCAGAGGGGAAAGGAGAGTCTCTAAACTGTTTTTGAGAGATGCTCTGGGATGATCCTGCCATCCCCTCTGGGGGGATTGTGGAAGAGAAAGGGCTCAGAAATCATTAAATAGGAGGGGAAAAAAAAAAAAAAGAGGGTGGGGTATGTGGTATTTTTTTATTGCCATTATGGCTTTGAGCCTCATTCAAGATTTTCCCTATAAGCAGGAGATCTAGGAATTTAGCTGGATATGTCACTCTGTATCTGATTAGGAAAGTAAGCAACATACAGTAATATATGTGCTTGGGCATAAAGTCCATGGTAAAATCAAAGAGGAACCTATGCATCTCTCTGATCCAGCTTAAATACCTCCTTGCTGTCCTCTGAAGGTGTCTCTTCCCAGCATTCATTAATAGAGCATCACCTTTCTGTGAAAGAAAAGGTTTTTTTGCAATCTCCTGTGAAATGTTCTAGGAGTATTCTTCTTTTTGTGAATCTATGTTCAAATCTGCCTGTACTGTTTAAAAGAAGGTTATATGTCTACTGGCATTTTAAGGTATGAACTTGATATCTGATTATTTTTATAGCTTAGGTTCTTCATTACATCACTCCAAGAGAAACATTCAAGGATAAAGATTAATTACTTTTAATGTTGCTTCAGATTTGTTATGCTGCAGATAATTCTTGTTTTAAGTAAGTGGAAACAGGTGTGTAACAATTGATTAAATTAAATTAAACAAGCAAGTAGGGAATGAAATGCACATGGCTATTTTCAAGGAGAGATATTGTAAACATTAATTAAGCAGCTGGAAATCAATAACTACACAAAACTATTCCCTCTTCAGAATTTTATGAGATGGAAGAAGCCCTGATGTTTTCAATCATGACATTGTTATTTATACCTTGCTGAAGTATAAATAAGAGGTGCCCATAACCAGGCCAGCTATGACATGATGCAGACAGGTGGATTTTCTTATCTGGGCCCTTCTGAATCCTGTGGAGGCCCAAGAAGGATGATGTAGCACCACTTTCACACCACTGATTCCCAAAAGAGGGAGTGACTTGTCTGAAGTGAATAATTTTCAGAATTAATTAGCAAAAATAATCCTCCATTCCCCCTCTGGCTAAGATTAAGTCCTTTTATATAAAATAAGGGATGGCTAGTACCTTTCTAGTGCTGAATTACCATGCAAGACTACTGTAAATTTTGTGTGTATATGAATAAAAAAGGCTTAGAAAGGAGAGAAATGGATTTGCAAAATTCTCCAAAGGCCTCAGTATTAATTTCCACTCTTAGAGAGTCCCCATTAGTGTTTGACCTTCTTAGTCAATAGATGTGCTCCCTGCAGAAGAACAGACAGGCCCTTGGCTTTTGCAACTAAAATCAGTTTAATATTTTTTTTCTACTACTGCTAGCAGAAGTCAACAAAGCTAAGTTAGAGCAAGAAGCTACTTTTCAGTCTGTTTTGTGCAATCCTCTGCACAGCTATTTACAAAGCTCCGAGCAGCTACCTGTGCGCCAGCTCACAAGAGGCAACAAAAGACTAACGTGGGATGCACAGAGGATCCATAGCAGACACCTTGCCTCATGGGGTTGATTTCCCAAGTCTCCTCATGCCGGTTAAGGAAGGAGTTTCCCTGTACCCAGTGGATGCTTGTGCTGGCTGAGGAGGTAGAACAGGACCTGCTGCTTGGAAACTGGTGGCCAGCCCTGCCTGTTTAACATTTGCGTTCACAAAGCCTGGCCCTGAGGTCTATGGTAGGATCATTAAAAACAATAATTAAAAAAATAAAATGTGTAGACAGAAGAGAGATACAGTCTTACCTATTTGTCCCTGGGGACCCCAGGAAAGATGAATGAAACAGGTTCAATTTCCACCCCATGCACACCATTTCCAGGTAAGCCTGAACCAAGGCTGAGTATATTTTACAGGAGTGTGGTGTGTCACAGGGTCTGGATGGATGCAAGCTGCCTGGATGGATAGAGCTGTTCCACTTGACATAAATAATTAGAAATTAATTGGAACACAGACTGGACTATGCTCATCCTTCCCTCTCTGCATCTTCTTACTGTCACCATTTCCTCTCCCTGCTGCTCTAACAAGGAAGCTATAAAAACACTGTTCCCGAGGAGGGTGATGTGGAGGGGCATCAGAATGAACAGGGAGGAGAGGAAGGTCTTCTCCTCTCTCCTGGTTTTACAGGTATGCACTACAGTTTTTATTTTGGGTTGTAAGTGCATTCAGAGGTTTAAGTGGAGGTCTGGATTTATTGTCACTGGAGAACCATCAGCAGGGACCCACACTGCTGCTTTCACAAGGTCTCTGTTTGGTCTTCCTGCCACATGTATAGAAGCATTTGTGACAGTGGCTGTAGAAAGTGGGCACCCTGCTATTACTCTTCCACAAGATCCTCATGGAGGTTTGCTTGCAGCTGGAGACTCACAGTGTTTGGTTTAAACATGCGTCATACTTTTGGTGGATGAGAGTTTACATAATGAAAAGAGGGTTCAGTTCAACTTGATTTCAAAACCTATGTGCTGGAAGATCTGTCTGCCTTTTCTGTCATGTTCTATGTTAATAATTTCCTGGCCCTGCAGAACAAAAATAAGTCCTCTGTGGTCTAACTGGACTATTAATAAAGAGAGGCAGCTCTTACCCACCTCTGCACAATTTCCTGATATTATCAATTATTGTTCTGATGTTTCATTGCTGATAAGTAGGAAAGATACCAAAGAATGGGCATTTAATTGAACTACAGCTGAAGAGGCACTTGATGGTTGGATGCCGCTTGAATTGGAGCAGTCTTTATTAATGTAGCTAAAATAGATACTGACCACTGCATAGCAGCTTCGCAAACATTCCTCTCGATGACATTACCTTGGCATTGTTCTCTTCATATAATCCAAACTGTCTCTTTTCACTGTATTACTTCAGAAAAGACATTTCCCCAATGCTTTGTGGGTCAAAATAGTACTGCTGAAAGTGAATATGTGCATGATTGCCCTCAGGGGAAGAAAGTTGCCCTGTTCATTCTGGTGATGTCAAAACTCTATGCACACAACAGAAATTGTATTGCATTAGCTGAGCAATCAAGAACATCTTCTGTGTATCATGGCAATGCTCCTTATTTTAATGGCTGCCTCATTAGAAACATCTTTCTGGTAAGGTACAAGATTTGCCTTTCTGATACAATGGACAATTTCATCTCCTGAGGTCCAGACTTCATTGAAGTCACTCTTCTGGGAGAGTTTCCAGTTTTTATGTTGTGTTGGGAAATTAACTTTGTGTCATCTTGGCCCCATTAAACCAGTGGGAGTTTTGCCTCGGCCTGCAGTAGCATTAGAATGTTGTGCACTCTATAATAATTGAACTGGAAATTATAGAAGCACAATCTTCCTTCTGCCCTATTAATGAGTTTAACAACTTGCTAGGAGCAAGCTTCTGCAGATAAGGAATCTGTGCAAGTATTTACACAAATCCCACATGAAGCAAAGTTTGTATGTCTCTAATGAATGAAATGTAATGTACCCATGCTGGGCTCAGCATTCAGCAGTTTGCTGCCAAACCTTCATCCAGGCTCAGCTCTATTGATGTTATAGGAAGAATGGATAAAATGCTAATGACTAACACCCCTTTTTGGTATTAGAATTGCAAGGTTGAAATGCAGGCACTGAAATTAAGGGGAATTTAAGACTTGGTTTCAACAGAAGCAGAGCTGTTTCTACAGGTTTCATCCAGTATTGCGAGGGGTGGTATTTCTTTCCTCCCTTCAAAGTATTTTGTGCTATCTATCTCCTTTGCACCATCACCTGTAAATGAAGAGATTGTCCCAGACAGAGGACACCATCCTGTTCTGAATAGAAAGCAGTAATCTGTTTAGCAATAGGAACTAAGCAAGGACCTTCCTCCTTCCCTTCACTTTGCTGTATGGGCTGGATTGGCAATCTAAAATTTGGGGGATGTGGGAAGAAGACAAAAGCCCCACACGACTGCTGCCACTGGTATGCAGCACCATTGCTATCCTCTGGGCCATCTGGGCTTCCTCAGGATCCACCACGGCATGCAACATCCCCTTGTTTCCTCCTCAGCCCTTAGCACAGCTACACTCCTCAGGAGAGGGCTACAAACCAGGCAGCTGTCAGCAGGCTCCAAAAACCCTGGTACTCTGAAGGAGGCCAGAGTGCTCTTGCTCTGACACCTTCTCAGCAACACAGCACAGAAAAACTTCGTAGGGATTTTCTGAGCAAGCTGTTAAGGATGGAGGCATTTAAATAAGCTGCCCATAAGTGGACTGGGAGATGTTTTGATTTGCTCCATTGGCCAACACAATATGGAGCTCTTTAGCACCTTTAATATAGTGCCTTAATTGTGCAAGTAAAAGTGTTTTCTCAGAATCCCCAGAATTGCACATTATAATAGTCACAACACGTATATATATCCTGGATATATATATATACACACACACGCATAACCACAAAACCAATTGCTTTCCTCAAAAGCACACCCTGATAAGAAAACTGCAGTCCTCAGCCTGCCATCATCCTATGATGGCCACCAGGGCTCTGACTGGGCCACCCAGTGGACCAGGTAAGGACTTACATTACACACTGGTCAATGATGACACTCAGAATGGAATAGCAAAGATGTAGCATGTAGAAGACAGCTTCCTTGAACTCTCATCCTCTGCATTCTCTAGTCAGCATCAATTAATATACTGTGGTTTCTCATCTACTGAATTTTTTCAGGACTGTAAATGCTGAAAATTAGATTTATTTTCCTTGGCAAAACCAAAAGAAAAAAAAAAAAAAAACAAAACACCACCACCATCTCAGGGTATGGAAACGTGTTCTTATCTCTTCCTACAGAGGGGAGGTGCTGAGAAACGCCAGAGGTGCAGCTCATAGTTTGCCACTGACTAAGCAATGCTGGACAAGTCAGCATCTCTGCCCAGGTCCCCCCCTCAAGACCTGAGCCAGCCATAAACTGGAATTTTGCCAGCACAGCAATGCATTCTCATTGCATGATAGGGCACCAACTAGCAAAGAGCTTGTGGTGCTGCTACAATATGAAGAATAAAAAGTGAGTAGGATTTTTCAAGATGCTTGCAACAAACTGGAAATTCCCAGGGAAGTTGAGACAAAGCTGTATTCATCTTCCCTGAATTTATTTGAAAACCTCCCCATGAAGATCTCTCTGCTCCTTGCTTCTTTGTTTCATGCCCTGGGTTGAAAGACTTTTGGTCTGGTTTCAATCAAGCCTAGTTTATTCCTCTTTTATTAAAACATTTACTGGATAACACATGCTGAAATATCCTGTCAGGAAAGTTCACAGACATTGTCTCAGATGTCTACATCTCTTTTCCATGCTGCTGCGAGGCACAGACAGGACCAGGGACAGCCTGAGTTTGCTAATGAGTCTCTGTCTCTAGTCTGAGAGATAAGCACATGTTGTAGGCACTGGTGTTTCTCACACCCATGCATGTAATTTCCAGTCAGAGAGGCTGTTTTCTTCCCAGTTCTGCAATCTGGTAAAACAAAGCAACCAGCATGGAAGGTGTTAGAAAGGAGAACAAATACAGAGGTGTTTTAGAAGCAGTTTAATATTTTAAGCTCTAAGTGCACGAGGGCTGTGATCTTGTCAAGTCTGTAGTGTTTTAGCAGAAAGGCCCTGTGCATCAATTCATGGGAATACATGGGTTCAGCACCTGATTTAGTAGAGCAAGAAGTAAAAGGGTAGGGTGAAGAACAGCAGCTGGTGCTCCAGGAAAAGGAACAGCTTGGCAGAGCTATTGTCCCTGGAAAGGGAAGGAGAGAGACTTCTCAGAGATAAAGGACAGCTTTCACCCCACCCCAGCTCCCACCTTGCTCAATGCTGCATAAGAGCGATGCATTTAAGAAGTACAAGTTACATGGGCCAGAGGTTATCTGCTACTCCTTTGTCCCAAATCTCCCTGGAATATAGTTTTCCACTACCATCTGCCATTTGGTGGATATTTACATCTGTCTTTCCCTAAAAGTAATCACCCCAAAGCCCCCTGACATAAGGATCAGTGAAAACCATCTTTAGAAGCACCAAACTTGAAAAGTTTTCTCCCTCATTTAAAGCCACATCATCTTCTTTCCTTGTTTTCCCCTGGCTTACTTATTTTATTGTCAACTCAGTGTGATGCTTTTTTTCCTTGGCTTTGCACAAGAAGCCTTGGCATGACACTGACTCTTGACATAGAAAGTGACTTTGCCACTCTAAGTGGGGATATACTCTTCCAGCCTCTTAGGTCTCCTTTGTAATCCCCCCAACCTTTGCAGGGGCAGCAGGAAGGACATTCTCACGAGCCATCTGTCGGGGTAGATACAAATCCCAAACTCTTCTGGGCCTTAGAGACTGCTCCAGCCTTGAAGGCTTCACTCAGCAATACAACAAACACAGATGGTTTCCCTCTTGGACCTGGGACAAACGTGCTGCCTTTCAGGATGTGGCAATGATTTTCCTCAAGCAAGCCTTCTGTTTGAAAAATGTGAGCTATCTATATGTTTGGATTTGGGATAAGTGCAATGTATGCCCCTATACACATTTTCTTTTATAAATAAGGGAAAATGTAAATGTCTATAATAATTTACCTGAGAAGTTAGGTGCATTGAGTGCAGGTTTCAATCTATTGCATTTTTAACCTCCACAGCTTAAAGGGAAACCACCAAAGGGAAGTGTTAACTGTACATTAGGCAATCTGTTTGATATAAAAAAAGAATGTTGCACATTGATCCATTGATAGAACTACTCTGGCTGCAAAGTAACTTATTTAATAAACCATGGACTGTTTTATACCTATGACAACATTTATAACGTGAATAAATGAATAAATTTGTCCTTAGAAGATACAATTCCTTAATTCTCTATGTATAAATTTACTTTGGGCATGCACATGCATACAGCGGCTCAGGAGTTAGGCTAAACCTGGACCAAACTTTCTGTACTGCACTGTACACTGTCACACAGAAATAAGCAGTCCATCAGCATAGTGTGAGCCCTGAGTTTGCTTATCCAGAGGGAGTATTATCTTGGATGTAACCACATGTTACTGCATAGAGAAGCCGCTTGAGGCTGGATCATTAATAATTTTCAGATGCCCAAGACGTGTTAAAATGAAATCACCCTTTACTTCCACCTTATCAGCACTTCTTATTTCATCTGCAAGTAGTTCCAGGGGTTGAAAGTCAAATCTAAAGAAACCGTAACGTAAGCAGTTGAACACAAACCCCCACGGAACCACAGTGAAACATCTCCTTATGTATCTTTGCATACTAGTTTTTAATGCTTTTCATAATTTTCTGCAGTGGATACGGAATATGCAGAGGTGACAACTACATTATCTTTAGGACAACGGGCTCCTGGTACTGATAACCATGCTTACCCTCACCTCTTTAGAGAGAGGGTTTTGCATGGGGACGTACTGTGCTATGACCCACCTGATGGTCTCCAGTGTCTTGCTCCTCTCCTATGCAGCACAGTTCCCCCTCCTTCCCAGCAGACTCACCCTCGCCTCTTCAGGCAGCATCGGCTGCTCTGCTCTGCACCCATGCCTTGCAGGCAGCCTCCTTTGCTTATCTGGCATTTTTTCCAGACCATAATATTTAGAAGACAGTGGTTTTTAAAGAGGACCAACGCAGAAGTCCAGCACAGTAGAACTATTTTAATGATGGTACAGAGGAGAGCATGAAAGGAGAAAGCCCGGGCAATTTAAATGCCCCATGGAGTCTGGGGTTTGCTAGCCTCAGCAGAAGCTGTGATCTACTTGGAGTAATTCCCCTCCCATCCCAGACGTGGGCTTTTTATTTAATCTAAGACTTCTAAACAAACAAACACCACCACAAACACCCTGCCATGTATTACAGATCAAGGCATAATAATTGCCTTGTTCTACCAGGACCTCCTCAAAATCAAACCCTCCAAACCCATCACACCAGTCCTGTTCATTTCATTTATCACTGACCCAAACTGTAGGCTCACTTATACCAGAATGAGCATGGCACCACTAATCTGTAAGGAACAGAGCTTTAGCTGGCTTCCCCTTCTATAAAGCCAGTGTTTTAACTGGTTCATACTGGACTGTCACTGCCCTGAGTGAGATCTGATTTTGGTCGTCAATTTGGACAGCTTCAAAGTGAGCTTGTTGAGAGCAAAATCACAGATGAAAAATAATCTTTACTAGTTATTGCAGTGTTGAAGGGCCAGCTGTGCTTGCATTGCAAAACCAGCTGTAGACCTACTGTTGACCAGCAAGGATAACACCATGCATCTTTCAAGAAATCACTCTCTTATGCTGTGCTGTAAATGTTCAGTAAGCCAACTTTTTGGTATAGAAAAGGAAAGTTCTAACAGGAAAAAAGTATCAGAGGAAGGGCAAGTTCTCACTGCCCTTTGGACAGTTGAAAATTCGACCCTTGAATTACAAACCAAGCCAGAAACAAACATAAAAATAACAAATGCATAGGTAGGTAATAGTTATATATACATGTATGTATGTATATACATACATGTATGTGTGTATATATATATGTGTGTGTGTGTTTGTGTATTTATCTGGCTTCTATTAGATTGTCTCCTCCTTTCCCATCTGTCAAAGCTGCATCGCATGTCTTCTAAAGCACTAGCCTGGAAACTTTTAGACATGTGCTTATTGTTAATTACATGAGTAGTTCCCCAAGTGCTGATGGGAATACTCACATAGGAGGGAAGAGGGTTAAAGTGCAGAGTGATTACAGACTATTGCCAGGCTGTGTTTGTGAAATAACTGAGCAGGAAGGCTTGGAAAGCTGGAAGGAGTCCCAGCCCTCTTACAAGCAGGACAACAACTGTAAACATTTAAAAGATCAGATTTGGGAGTGAATCCTCCATCACATCAGCAATGTGACAGCCCCTCTGGAAAGACCAGGATAAATCTGCTGCTGAGGTAAAACACTTTGTGGCGTTGTGCAGTACCTGACAAATGTAAGAGAGAGGTGACTAGGGTTGGATGTGTGATCTTGCTGAGTGTGATAAGCCACTTTCCTCATGAGTAAAGCTATCCCGTAATATTCCCAAAGCATCCGTGGGATCTGGTGGCTAGAACAGGAAATGATTTTTCTCATCCTCAGGGAATTTTTCCAGTGCTATAAATTACTGACTTGACTTTTTCAATCAGGACAATGAAAATGTAAAAAGGCAGTCTTGCGCTTTCAAAACATATTTCTGATTTGAGCGTGTTGTTTGATGAGCCTATTTTTCATTGATCTCATTCTGATTTTTTTAAGTTCATAGGAAAATATGAAATAACTCGTGTTTCTAAGTAAAAGGTATTTCAGTGTAAAAATAGAGTGTTTTTTGATTTAAAATTCACTGCAACAGCAAGGTCTTGACAATGTTGAAAGTAAAATCAAAGTTATATGGAAATGGGCACCTCATTAAAAAAAACAAATTTTATGAGCAGTTTGGGGGTTGTGTAGCTTGGAGGAGTTTTGGGTTGGTTTGTTTTTCTTTTCTGTTAGAAATCTTAATCTTGATGAAAGTTTCTTAGTGTATTTTCCTTAGGAACCTATGCTCCATTTTTTCAGGCCCAATTTAAGCATTTAGGTGCTTGCTTTTAAAAATGGGTCTCTGAGACACCTAAACACACACGACTTAGAATCTGAGAGGTAATGAATGTGCTTGTCTCTCCCCGCCAACCATGGGGAAAGCTCACAGTTCTTCCAGGTGGTGCCTTTCGAGCGTTTAGCGTGCTCGGCACGTTGCAGAACCGCACCTGAAACATCCAGGAGCCGAGGGTCCTGCATAGTTTGCAGGGCTGGAATTTAGCACTTTGACCCTTTAGGCCTGCTGTACAATATATTATTTATGAAAGAAACCTTGACTAATTTACAGTATGCAGTGCATGCTGGTGCTGTTGCATTGCAGTCGCTGAGTGGGGGGGTGGAAAAGAGAAGGTGGCGATAACTGCAACTGCGAGCAGGCACAGTTTTACAGTTTTTAAAGATGTTTTAATAAAAGGGCATAGGCAAAGGCATTTTTGTTACAAACAAATACTAAGAGAGGGGCAGCTCACAGTCCCACCACTGAGTAGAGTGTTTCTCCCAGAGCTTTTCCAACATCAGGCATGTCTGTATATTTTTCCCAGCCCACCCCACCCCCCAGTTGAAATAACAGCTCCATCCAAAGGCACTGGCTAAAATGGGAGAGACTGGTCTCTACTGGCAAACAACTGGCAGCCACAGAAGACTCCCTGCCCGGCCCCATAAATACCATGCTTGTATAACTAGTTGTGGCCAGATACATACACAGACACCGCAGTCAGCGCCGAACCTCAGCGCTGGAGACGGCGTCCATCAGTTTGAGTGCTTATGGTGCTGCTCCTCGACACGTGCCCTGCCTCCTTGCTCCACTTTTATCCTCCTCTCTCCCCTGGGTCCCAGGCAGCATCAGCCTCGCTTCCCTCCCCTTGCCATTTTCTCTGCGCCTCTCGGCAGGGCGGCTGCAGCTCGCCGTTCGGCTCTCTCTGCCAAAGCGCTCGCATGCTCCCCGGCTTCTCCGAGAGCAGCAGCGTTCGCCTGGCGGGAAGGATGCCTTCGCCTTGAGGCGCCGCTGGTCTCCCCCATCCTGTTCCCTCTCTCCTTCGGCCTCGGCAGCTCGGGGAAGAGGAAGGGAGCGCGGCTGCGGGGCCGGGGCATCCTGATGCTGGTCCCCAGCCCCCCGGAGGACGCCTGAGCCCGGCGTTGCCATAGCGACGGCTCCCTAGATAAGGCGGGCAGGAGCATCAGCTGCAGCCCCAGCCCAAAAAGGTCCCGCTCCAGCGAGCCCCGACGCCAAATCGCGCCCTCCCCACCGCCTCGCACCGCTTTGTAAGTACCTCGTCCGCACACTTCCCTCCTGTCTGGGTGGCTTCTTGTTTTGCTTTTTCTTATTTTTTTCTTTTCCTTTTCCTTTTCCTTTTTCTTTTTCTTTTTTTTTTTTTTCTTTTTCTTTTTCTTTTTCTTTTTCTTTTTCTTTTTCTTTTTCTTTTTCTTTTTCTTTTTCTTTTCTTTTCCTTTTCCTTTTCCTTTTCTTTTTCTTTTTCTTTTTCTTTTTCTTTTTCTTTTTCTTTTTCTTTTTCTTTTTCTTTTTCTTTTTCTTTTTCTTTTTCTTTTTCTTTTTCTTTTTCTTTTTTTCCTTTTCCTTTTCCTTTTCCTTTTCCTTTTTCTTCTCCTCATTTCCCCTTTCCCCTCTTCCTTTTCCTCCTCCTTTTCCTTCTTTTCCCCCTTTAGCAGCCACCAGCAACAAGGCAAATCACCCATGTCACCCATAGTGACTAGCAGGAAAGCCTGGGGTCCCCACCCTGTGGAAAGCAGGATGAGGATGGCTCCATGTGGGGAAAGTTGGGGTGTGACCCCACTGAGGCTGGAATGTATGGATGGGGTCATGGGGAGGAGAGTGCTTTAGAGACATCTGCTTCAACTAACTTTAACTGCTGGGACAGTTCGTAAGCAGATAATACAAGCCAGCAGAGCGGGAACTGGTGTCAGGACTGCTTATCCCACTACAAAGGGTTAGCGGGTGCAAGGGTGAGTCTGACCCTCGAGGAAGTAATTAAGGAAGACTTTGTATCTTTTATTATCTCCAAAGACAAAAAACGTTGTGACCAGAACCTGTCTAGATGTATCTTACAGTTTTTTTCTATCAGTCAGAGTTTAACTGTTATTATTTTAATTTTTTTTACAAGTTGATGGGAGGTAGTGGGAGTCAGTTCACAGACCAACCAGGGTTTTGAACTAGCTCCCAGAATCTCACTGCTTGTGAGAGGAAACTGCTCCCTGACAATTCTGTGGGATTTCTGCATCTGCACAATTATTAGTAGCAAAAGTTTTGAGTGCAGGGAGACACCTGGATCAGGCTTTCAAATACCTAGGCATTACCTAAGAAGTTTTAAATACGCTTTAGAAAAATAAAAATCAGACTAATCTGACAAGAATGCCTAGAGAGAGCAGCCTAGTGCCCAAATAACTGCAGAAGAAACTCTGTGCAGTAGTATGAGGCTGTCTTCTGTGCCCAAGAAGACATTACTCCAATAGAGCAACATTAAACATATAGTAAAACTTGTAAAGTCAAGTCTGGAATGCAAAGCAGGAACACCCAGACTTTCTACTTGTAGGGCATCTGTTTTCTAGTCTGGCTGGAGTAGGCAGGTTGCCTTGCTTTAGTGACAAGATTTGCCCAGGAAGCAGCTGTAATGGGGCTGGGATAGGACTGGGGTATGGGCGAAGGTGAATATTTGCTGGTAAAGGAGCTGAGGCTACCTGTTGAGTGCAGGAGGAGGGAGCCAAATGCAGGAGGAAGGAGCCAAATGCAGCCAGGTGTGGTACCACTCCCCTCGGCCCCTGAGCCTTCAGACGAGCTCTGTGTTGGGAAGGTGGGTGCAAGATGACTACAGCCAGACGATAGTATATTATTCCTTCTTTACACATTTGTAAATGGCTTCATGCAATTAAGGGGCCTACTCACACTGTAGGACCCTGCCGAGGACAGGCGACAGAAGGAAGGACAGGTCTGTCTGTCCCTCCCACGTAGGTTTAGGGAGGGAAGAGGAGAGCGGGTAAGGATGCTGGGAGCTGGCCTGTCCCGCCTTGCTCAGGTGCTCGTTGCAACCAGATGGAGAGGGGCAAAGCAATTAAAAACAATTTAATAGTCGAGCCCTGTCAGGTGTGGGTGGTGGGAGGAGGAGCAGGGGCCTGAGCCGCGCTCCGGTCTGGGAAGCTTTGCCCTTGGTGTGGGCTGGAGCGGAGCTGTCGCAGCCCAACCTCTGCCTCCTGTCTGCACGGGGCAGCATGCTGAGATATTCCCACTCATTCCCATTTCCAGATGTCAAGGACATCAGCGGCGGCAAGGCCAGGCCCTGGTTACCGGGATGCGGACAAGCCCATGTGCCTGCTCTCCCACCCTGGGGCCACAGATGCCTCTGTTTCTGCTAGCGTGTTTTGCCAGAGATGGCAAAAATATGTGCTCTGGGTCCAGAAGAAGATAGGTACATAGTGTCATACAGGCTTCTGTGGCAGCGTTACTATCAACCTACCAAAATAAATACTTATTAAATTCAGATTGCCTGTTGCCACCCTACAAGGATGCTCTCGAGAGTACTCTTATTTATGCCAATGGTTTCTTTAATGTTCATGTACATCCTGCAAGCTAGTGCATGCTTTTTCTTGGGGATTTTGTCAATTGTGGAAGTAAAACGTTCCTCTGAACAAAAAAAAAAATAAGAAAAAGAAAAATCCACATACTTGTGGACAACGTTGCATAGTCTACTGAAGTCCTCAGAAGCACAGTTTGTGGAGACCTTACAAAGGGTTGGTTCAGAAATTCTAAGTATTCAACATGCAAAGAAATGACATGCAAGTGTAACGAGTCTTGCCCTTATTGTGCAATGGTGAAGAATATTGACATTGATGCCCACTTAGTCCCTGTATACTTTGATAAGAAATGTAGATCAGAAATTAATTTTTCCATGTTATAAGTAAGAATGATGACTCATTTCAGAACTGCATTGCCTCTTGAGACCGGATACAAATACCCATAGGTACTCAATTTCCCTGCAGTTGCATAGCACCTACAACCATTCAAATCCTATGAGAAAACAAGAAATGGAGATTTAAGTTTCTCCTATTCAAAGCCATTTCTGTGCCTAGTTCAGGATCAAATGAAAAAAGATCAACTCTTTAGATTTGTTATCAGAGCTTTAGTTTTCTACCTTATAAGGTAGATTTTTCTCATGAGATTTAATTTCAAGTTGATTTAAATGTCACATGATCAGATGGCCTCAAAAGATTTACATTATTGTGGTAGAAATATGTGTGAGTAGCTTTGCTGAGTATTCCCTAAGCTCTAGCCTGATTACTTGTGACAAATATCGACATTAAGCCAACTGTGCATTAAAATAGTAAACCAAAACTGGTTTCTTTGTCCATCTCTAGGCAAAATACTTCTACTTAATTGAAACCTGGAACCAGTTGCATTGGTGGACTTTTTGATGGAGACCCACAATTTAAGCAAAGGAAGGAATCCTATTATTTGCATGTATTTGTGTGTTTTAAGACTCTGCTAGTGAGTGGTAGGAGCTGTACATCTCCTTTCTCTGGATAGCTTTATTTGGGCACTTTAATCAAATATATACAGGAACTTAGAATCCTGAAAAAATAAATTAGAGTGTTCTTTAAATTACCTAGAGTTCCAAAGCTCATAAATTCAGGTATTTGTCATCTGAATCACCATCTCTTACAAGTGTGTATGCCCAGAGGAGTCCTGCTGTTCGGTGACAATGACTCGTCATGAGCTCACCCACATGAGGCTGAAGTGGCTTTTGCTCATATCTGTACTTTTCAGTCTGCCTTATCATTCCTTGCTCTTCTCTGTAAGTAGAGCCAATCCCATTGAATGCCAAAAGTCTTTACAAGGAGAAAATGCAAAACTATGTAGTCAAAGCTAGAACTTGTCTCAACCCTTAGGGAAACATTTTAAGGTGTCTCTATCAGTTCTGTCTCTTCCCAGAAGTAACAGACTCAAGGTGACTCCTTTAGGCACATATTTCTGAAGCGGGGGTGGTACAGCCTAGCTACCTTATACCAAAGTCTCAGGCTAAATGACTATTGAATCCTAGATCTTATGGAAAAATCTATATGCATTTCAGGAAGCGTCTCCCACGCAGTGTGATTTAGAGCTCCACAGTAACCATTACAGTTGCACAAAGGATGAACATGGATCATTATGCCAAGAAATATAACGGAGTGCAAGAAAAAAAAAAATAAACAACTTAGTCCATCATGTAAATAGAAAATGTCACCTACCGAGGTGACTGACGGCAGGAGGGAGCGCAGGCCGTGCAACGTGAAGGCTGCTGGAAAAGGGTTGCACTTAAAATCCGAGAGCGTGCCTCCATTTGTTAATGACTTCGTGCAACCCTCGCAGTGTTCTTCCTCCCCACACAAAATGTTACTGGGGAATCTGTTCCTTTAGTGGCAGGAATTGATTTTAGTGGTTTGGGAAAGCGCCATTACGATGCTCCCATACATCACCCCTCCTCTGAGCGGGGGCTCTGTGCGTAATGCACAGCGACAGCATGCAACAGCACCCACAGGGTTGCCCAGCGTATGCAGTGTATATACCCCCCAGATAACAAAACTCACAATATATTTTGGCAATCTTTTTATTCTTTTGTCACACAGACTGTCACAACGTGCAGTGTGGAAATACTTTTGTAAGCAAGGCAGTACCGGCTGCAGGGCAAAATTAAAAAAAAAAAAAAAAAAAGAAGTGGGGGTGTCAGAAGTTAGGCTTTAAAGCCATATTTTAAAGCACGAATGATGTCAAAGGCTTGGAACCTCTGCCTGCAAAAATGTGAAGAAATCTCTAAGAGAGTTATTTTAGAATACTATTTTTCAAACTACTGTATTAAGAAAAAATAATTAAGGAAGTCTCTCATAATCTGCATATACCGATCCTACATTAAGTCTCTTTACAGTGCTTAATTGTTATTAGGTGAAATAACTCAATGAAACTACTCAGTGAAATCAAACCATAGTTAATCATATATTATAAGGCATTTCCAGTTAGTATAGTTTAATACCAACTTTACATTTAAATTTTACTATCTATCCTCAGCTTTTTTGCCTCAAGACCTGTTCAAAAAAAGTCCATATTGTCTGAAATGGTATCCCTGATTTTACTGAAAACATTCTAAACAGAGTACCCTTCAGAGAAGAACATTTTCCCTACAATCATAATATTTGGCCAGCATGCCTTAATCAAATCCAATAAAATCAAATGGCACTGAAGAAAAAAAATCTCCCTCAAATCACAAAATGAAGTGTGAGTCTTCATATGGCCAGATAATAATTTTTCGTTTGAAATAAAATTATGACTGCTTCATTTTAAGCCATAGCTACAGCTTATTTATACAGTGGATAAACAGAGCAACCATACCATCCTAAACTGCATTCAAAGATTTCTTTATGTGGGGTCTTCCCAAGTGGAAGATTATTTTTTCTGTAAATGCAAATGAAGTCTCCAGGCAGTATAATCCTTCAGTACAGATGTGAGGCTGAACTGGAACAGTTCTGCAGTGAACAGCTGGAGGTCAAACCCCTTATCCAGGCCTGATTCAGTAAGGCATTTAAGAATTTGTAGAATTTTACAAATTTTTGTGAATTTTGAATACTAAAGGGTATGGGAGTTAATCCCATATGTACATTGTGAGTCAGAGTTCCTGACCTTTACTACTGTCAGCCAGTGTTGCCCCACTTACTTTGAAGTCGCTAGTGTTTAGGACATGTTTTTTCCATCCCCTGAAGAATTAGCTCAGTGCATGATTATGAGTGCGACCTTTCATATTTTGTTTGGCAAATATTTATGTGACTGGATTTTGCTTGAGGATTAATTGTTCTTTATATAGACACAAGTTTAATCATAGAAATGAGGTTAACTCCCCTACTGTACTGTTTCTTGTTGACAAACAACCACTGCAATTTACAGAGAAATAATATAGGCAATTTCTTTACCTCCAGCAAGATAAAAACAAACTCCCACAGTACAGTCTCCTATTTTCTCATCCTCCTTTTCACTGTTTTTCTCCAACTGCCTTTTACTTAACCTTTCCTTCTCCACCTTCCCTTCCCTCCTCTGTTTTTTCCCAGTTCCTCCTGTCTTTCTTCTACTATTCATGTTGTCTCCTGCTTTTTTCTCTTCCTCATTGTCTTCCTCCTCCCTACAAGGAAGTCACAGTTTGCTCTTATTCCCCAAAAATGGAGAACAGAGGTTGTGAATGAGGAACTACCACAGCTGTTGCTGGCTGAAGGGGGACACCCAGACCACTCAGACTGCACCTTCAGGTTGAAGGTTTTTTCCTTTAACATTGTTCTGTCATTCTGACGGGTTTCTGCTAAGAAACTGTAGAAATGATCAGCAGTAAAAAATTGTCTAATTTCCTTCTTCCTGTGAGGGCAAAGTTAGATTGTAAGATAGAGGCCAAATGTGGTCCTTGATTTACAATTGAGGAAAAATGGAGAAGAAAACCAGAACAGAACTTCCTATTTCCTAGCATTTACTTTGTGTACGTGATAGCCCTTTCTGTATTAAAAGTCAGTATTCTTCTGTAGATCCAATTTATTCCCCCTGCTAGTGTGGGTTGCTTACAGCAAGGGATTCAGAAAAAAGGGATATTGGGTGTGTAACCAAGGCAGTGGATAAATTCATCTCTTTAGCATGCGTGAGCAAAATCAGGGCAGCAGACTGCATGGCAGAGAGCAGCTGGAAGAGAAGAACTTCTCGTGAGCTGGCTAGCCAGTGGATACATAACACTGTTATGTCTGTTTTATGTCATGCTGCTGGTTTTTTGTTTGTTTGTTTGTTTGTGTTTTCTTTGGTTTAGTTTCTTTTTTTTTTTTTTTTTTTTTTTTTTTTTTTTGACATAGTATCTTCAAAGGGGGAGAAAAGCCCATTTCAATGATGTCAACAGAATGTGTTCAGCCACTTGATATCCCAGAAGACAGACTGGACAAGCGAGATTCGCACTGTAACCATTTAGGTAAGTGTTATTAGATGATGTCATTGCAGTAATTAGAGACGTGTTGTCTTCACATCATTCAGTCCTGTCCAGTGTCCTTTTTCCCCCTCCAGCAACACAACTGAGCCCTCATGAAACCTGATAGATTACACCTTCTGCTGACACTTCTGATGCCAGATGGAAAGGCAAACAGAGTTTTTCCTGCATATAAATGTCAACCGAAGCTCTAGAGCGAAGTTAATTAAAGAGGAGAAAGGAAAAAGACTCATTGTTCTTTTCCCTGGTAGAAAAATTAGAGCAGTTTCTTCATTTATATCACAACAAACTGAAAGCTAGGATATAGCTGAGCCTTCCCTGAAAACATTTTCCATATGCAATTTCAGTGAAAGATTTCAAACCTCCCCTTTGCCTCCAAAGGGGCAGCATTCTAAATACTTTTTCTCCTGTAGTATCAATCTGTTTCCTCTCTTGAACCTATTTCATACATAACTTTTGCACTGAGAGTACCAGAGGCATCTTTGCTCCACCATTCTCCTAAATACCAGACTTCATACTTGATAGATGTGCTTTTTGCATATTCATGGTCTTTGCCTCTGCTTCAAGTGCTATTACTTCATTCCTGTCTTGCAAAATTGTCACGAAGATTTAGCAACCCAGAAACAAAAATCTATTTGCTTGTTGTTACCCTTGCGATGACAATAATGAAACACAAATGAAATTCCACTTGCTTGTCAGAGAAAGTGTCTCACCGCAGGCAAGTACAATCTTATAAAGTTTGTTTTTTCTGGCCTTCTGCCTCTGCCACATGGCATTTCTAGCCACAGGCACCACTTTTACAATTGCTGGTATACCAAACATAATTGTTCCATAAAATTATTTAAATAAGTACAGAATGAATCCCATTCTACAGTCAGGAAACTGAGGCAGTGGGAGGTTGAATGAGCTCATTAGGACCATGCAGCAGGTCTGTGAAGGCCAGAAAAAGATTCCACATCTTATAGGGACTTCACCTGGAGGTTGTCCTTCCCATGTCTACCTGCAGGCTCGCAGACACACGGCTCCTCAAATAGTGTGGGAGAGCCTGGAACAAAGTCCTGTTGCGCCCAAATCTGCAGTGTCGGGGTGGGTGGGGGTAGGGACCCTGCTGAAGCCAAACAAGCAACTTTTAAGCAATCATAGCATTGCTTTGTGTGATGATACCAATGATGGGCTAGAGTCAATATTTTCAGCTTGCATAAGCACCCAGAAATGCAGATCCTTGCAGAAAAGCCCTGCTGACCATCTGAAACATCTGAGACAAGGCTTGTTTTAAGGGAAAACCAAAAATCCAGTGTAATGTTATGTAAATCAAAAGTGAATACCAACAGCTCAGTGGCTCTGGAAATAAAGCCAACTCTTGAAGGGAACAATATACTGGCTTGGTTTACCAATACCTCAGGCTGACCCCACACACATAAATCTTTCCTTCACAAAAGTTCCCTTGTAACTCTTGAAGACACAGCCTGCACAGTTAGCGCTGGATGAAAGAGGGATGGCCACGGGACCTCTCCACACGATGCTGCAGCCTTCCCTCTGCTGTGCAACACACGGCTGCCCACAACTCCCTCCCTCTGCTTTATGTCTGCCATCTACAATGCAGAAGGACCACCTAAGTCCCTTGACTCCCACGTAGTATGGCACAGATGCCTCTTGTGCTGACTTTCTATTTAAGAGAAGTTTCTCCACAGGCATTTTAATTTACTTGAATGAAATCAGTATTATTAAAGCTTTTCTTTTAATTATCTGTTTTATTATTTTCCCCAATTTTCAATTTATTTATTTTTATTTTTTTCCCTGCAGAAGATCTTTCAGAGCAGCTGATTAAGAGCTGTGACCTCAAAAAGAAACCAAGAAAAGGTAAAACCATCCCAGCTTCCCAAAACACTGAACAGGAGCAAAAAAAGCCAAGGAGAAAAGATACACCAGCTTTGCACACCCCACCACCTCTCACGGGTGAGCAACACATCTCTTGACTTTGAAATCCCAATTCAGCTGATGGGACTGAATCTGGGCAAAAGTCCAGAGACCCCTCATTCACTTATGTCCCCCTGAATGTGGGCAGGAACACAGCCTCACGCTGTCTGTGCCTGGGAAGACAGGAGAACAGAGAGGCTGACTTTCTCACAGGCATTCCCTGTTAGATGAAGGGTTTTCTCACAGGGTCTGGGATTACCAAAATGAGTGGGTGTGTAGTCTGGAAACACGCTCCCATGGAGCTCATAGTCTTGCCTTCATGTGATAAAGGATGTGTATTTATCTCTAGCTGATGAGCAGTGCGAGATGTCCTGATTCAATCTGGTCCAAAATCAAAAAGGATCCCGTTTAGCCCCCACACTTTCTTGTGAAACTTGTACCCAGTGCTCAGGGGGAGGTTGAATGGGGATAAGGCTGGGAGGAGACCAGAGAAGCACACAAGCTGGCTGCAGGTTGCTCCTCCTGGAAATCACAGGGCTCTTGTGCTTATGGGGACTCTGGCAAAGAGCGAGTGGGTTTGGGAAGCCAGAAACCATCACAGCCACAAAGGGGCTCCTTGTAGGATGCTCCCTGCTGCTGCGCATCTACGGACCTCTGCAGTTCAAGAGCCAAATGCCACCAACCTGGGGAAGGAAAGAATGAGCAGGAGACTGCCAGTGAAACCTGACAATCTTCCAAGATCATCAGTGGGAATAAAAGTTTGCCACTTCTCTCTGCTAAAAAGCACGCCTTGTTGGGCTCCCTGTGGAGAGAGCTGTGCTCTTGTATCAACTGCATTGAGTTCTTCTTCCCGTGTTGCACATACACAGAGGAGTAGCTACTTGCATGGTCCCCTGCGTATCTGCAACAATTCACCAAGTCAAAACCAAGCAGCTGGGATTTTCCAGTATTTGTAATCCAGATATCAAACCTGACTTTGTTCAGCTTTCACATGTATCTTCCTCAGCAATTCTCTCTTAAGGAAGAGTGGCTTACAGGCTGAAGAGCTGCATTTTGTGCCCACAGTAGCCATATCATAAATAAAATATTGTTTCACTAATTAAAACAGGCCAGTTATGTGTGGAGACAATTCTGTTGCTCCCGAGCAGAAGCTTGAACATCCATATGATTAAGCTACTTTGATAAGATGTCTAACCTTCTGGAATAGAAGACTGAACTCATCTTAACCATGATTTCTGATGTGCTGCAGTTTGGTCCATTACGTATAACCAGAAGCCAGCTGATGTGAGAACAGCAATGTCTATAGCCCATGGGATATAACTGACTTGGAGGAAATGTATACTGTTGTAAAACCTGACGAGTAGGTACACCATGCAGCCCAGATCATGCACTCCTGCAACCTTACTTCAGACTTGTTGCTGGGAAAGTTACACAGGTGTAATTTTCTTTGATGTGCAAGGCTGAAGTGGCATTTTGTTTTTTCTTCTTGCCTGCAGGCATACTCTCAGACTTTTCTGATAATCTGCTGAAAAGGTATGGTATCACGGAGAAGCCACAGAGAGAGAGAATGAGTCCAGGCTCTCAGATCACTGAACTGGAGCAGAAGAAGCCCAGGAGAAAAGATACGCCTGCAATACACATTCCACCCTTTATAATAGGTAAGAAAGTTACTTAGGTAAAGTTCCTCCAAAGAGGAAGCAAATCGTGGCTTCTCTCAGAGGTAGGCTTGGGAGGAGCCTGGAAGCAGAGTGCTCTGCCCAGTGTACTTAGCCGTTCCTGCTAAACTGGACCTATTTCGTCAAAGTAGATCATAGCAGTGGTGGTTCATAGAAAGTCTTTTCCATATCCCCTGCTCATGCTCTGGGAATAGAAGTGAAGGGGTGTAAGAGAAGACATTGGGTCACTTGATTATCTCTTGCAATCTTTTGTGGAAGACCAACTACTGCTCTGATTTTCAAACCTGAGCACGTGAAAATTTTTAGGTCATCAGCACTAACGTGGCTCATGCTCTCAGACAACCTGGAGCAAAGCGGTCCTGATTAACCTCCCCTTAACTCCACAGTCCCTGACATGAACTGAGGAAACCAAGCTGTGATGAACTTCTCATTTACAGCACCTTTAAGACAGTTCTGTGCTTCTGGCATAATAGGCAGTGCAGCAGTTAATTTGTTTGGTGACTGTAGGAAGTCAGTCAGCTCTGTTTTGGTCCAAAGACACTTTGCTGCATTTCCCACATTCCTCTATCACAGAAGAGCCTCAATTCTTCAATATTTCTGAAGGTCTTTGAAGATGTAAAACACTGTGTAAATGTTAATTACTAGTGCTAGCTAGAGATGCAAGCAACAGTGCAAGTTTGCATGCTGTGCACCGGCCCTTTCCAGGTCACAGGATGGAGCAAAAAATTAACAAACAAATGGACAAATGAACGAATGAAAAACAAACAAGTCCCAGATCCAAAACTAGTGCCAAAATGGGAATATATTGTTCCCTTAGGAACCTCTCGTATGAACTGGTTCTGCAGTGGGCTGGCACTACCGAGCAGTGAGACACACAAAGTAAAGAGGTCCTGAGACAAGAGCTGGATGTTGCTTAGTCGCTCAGGGCCAAATTATCTGACTTTCAGGTACACTCTGAATGGAATTCCTGTACACCTAATAATTATAAGGTGTGCAGACAGCTTCATCAATCCAAATACGCACCGCTATTTGTAGACATCTCCTTCCTTTGTGAATCTGTGACTGACTTAAACATCCATAAGAATTTTTTTTTCATTTAATTAGTATGGGGCTCCCAAAAGCAGAGAGAAGCATGACTAAGATTGCAGGATCATGGCAGCAAGCATGGTGAACACTAATGCCTTGCACATTGATCTGCCTAAGGAAAATACATTTTTTATTTGCTCATGGAATTCAAGCATCCCAATGGCTTGTGGCATCAGAGCTGCTGTAAGTTTGTTACTGGAAACCTGGTCCAATTATCTGCTGGGGGAAATGAAATCTAGCATACTACTTCTAAAGCCAACTGCAAATGCTCCACTGTTTGAAATATTTAATATTAATAATAATATCACTGATAATTAACTGTTCATATAATTGTTGGAGGAAATTACCCAGAAAATTACCCGGAATTTCACATGACAAATAAATTAGGTGGGAAAAAAACATAGTCTTTCAGGGATTGATTTAGAAACAGAAAAAGAGGTAAAATTTATCAAGCCATTTGTAATAAAAATTAGTTCTGTGTATTATACTTGAAACCTACCTTTCCTGTGGACTTTGGAGGAGAGATGAGACAGTATTTTCATCAGTTCAAAAACACTCCCAAGAAAAGCTGCCTTTTGTATTTGTCGCACCTTTGAAGATGCTGTATGGCCTTTGCACTTCTGGGTATATGCAGGGAAGAAGAATCTGAACGTGAAACACATTTGATAAAAATCAAAGACGAAATGTGTGACAGTGAAGCTGAGAGGCTTGTCTCTTTTTTGGTTTAAATGTAATTGCTAGCTAAGAGGATGAAGCAAGGGACAATTATTTCCTTGACCTGTCTCAACAACGGTCTGGTTGGATTAGCATCTAGTCACTTATTACTTCTTGTTTCCACCATAATTTCAACTAGCTCAAGTAGGCACTTGAGAGAGAAATGAGAATAATTGTAAGGGACTTCATCTCTTACCTCCCATGAAGACTTCTTCTTTAACTTTTAATAAGCAAAAAGAAAGCAAAAAGAAGCTGGTACAAGTTATATGGTAACAGAAACATGTTCTAATCCTTAAATTATTTGGTAATCAAAAAACTCATAAGGTAAGAGGAAAGCAGAGGAAAGGAAAGGAGAGGAAAGGAAAGGGAAACAAATAAAATGAAGTGACCTTCAAATGTGTGACAAAATTCAAACTGTGTGCATTTGCTGTTGGGAAAATGATAGAAACTAACACAATTTTCAGCTGTTTTCAATCATACCTCCAGTGACACTTTCTTGCCTACTGGTGAAGTCACCTTCCAGCACTCAGCACGGATTCAAAGCAGCCTGCTAGATGCTGCCTCTCCCCAAGGACAACTTTTCCAGATCCCGTATTCTGGGTCTGTTTTCCAGTGATTGATGGCATGTGGCAGATTTGTGCCTGTGTCAGGGGCAAAGTAGCCTGTGTGTTTGACTGCCTGAATTTCATTCCCTCCCTACTCAAAGGACGCATATTTTCTTTTTGAGATACGTACCAACACACAGCGTTCAGCTGGTTGAGATTCGCCAGTGGTGGCCCTGCGACTTGCTATGAAAAAGTGACTCATTGTGGCTGAGGGCTGGTCCAATATTTACTACTTGTTTACTTTCAGGGTGGTCCCATCAGGTAGCAGACAGAGCACAAACAAACGGAGCTCTTGCGGAACTGCTGTGTAAAATAGAACCTGAATTATAGACTCGGAGACCTGAGAAGCCCCGGCAGGGCTATGTGCGCTAAATAAATATAGACAGGCCTTTCTGTCCCTCTCTCCCTGTTATTGGTGTTGCTGCAGCAAGCAGCACACTTAATGCCACATGTATCCCTTGTGACCTGCTAATGAGGATTGTCCCTGTTTCTAACATTTCCCCTTCAGATCCCTCCCAAATGCCACTTCCAGATGTCAATTCAAAAAACTCCACTTAATTGTTTGTAGTAACAGAGCTTAATTACTAGATTATCTTTTTAAGCAGCTGTCCACACAAATAGCTTTGTTGTAAATGTAGCTAAAAATGGCAGCTGTGTTATCTCTCTCCATTTTGACCAGCTGGTTATGAGCACTCTCGGATGGTCCCTCTCCTTCTTGGGTGGCCAGAGATATTTTCTATTGCAAATAAAAGCAAGTCAAACAGACCACACAAAATTATGAAAATCAATGTATCTCCTGGATGGCATGTGATCCAAGTGAGAATTAGAATTATTTTTGCACCTTGCAAACACTCAATCCAAACGGGAAATGCAAGGACAGAAATGGAGCTGCTAGATTAGAATCTGAACGTTACTGTCTGGAGGAATCCATGACTAGCTGTTGTCTGAAGAAGGAGGCTAAGGAAATTTAGCCAGTTTAAATGTCTAAGCCTGGGCATCACAGAACTCTCCTCACACTGATAAATATATTCAACATTAAAACTCCTATGAAAGTGGCACAACTAACATTGTGCCACGTGTGTACAAACAAGCCATGAGCAGTCTCCTTCAGTGGCCAGCTCTCCTTCAGTCAGCCAACACCTTGGCTTTCTAAAGGGATTAGACCAGAAGACAAAATATAATCACAATTCTAATGGTCTTTTTTTCCCTCTCACTTGCCAGTAAATTATTTGAATCTGATCCAAGGCCTATACTCAGCTCTGGGACACTCTGTTGCCATCCCCACATTGCAATATATTCAATTAACTGAAGTATTTCTGAGAGCTCTTCAGGCCTGTAGGTTTGAGCAAGAATGTAAATAACTGCATAAGTATGGAAACACAGTTCCTGAAATGTAGCTGCTTAGAGTTTCTTAATCAGATCAGAGATAACTAGTAAAACCACAGTTTCAAACCCTCACTCTCCCTCATGCCCTAGAAAACCAGTTAAGGTTAGGATAACATCACACCCCCCAAAAAATCTCTGAGTGATGTAGGAGAAGCACAGCAGTTTAATGTCACCTCTCGTCCCTTTCCTGTGCAACGGATGGGACTGGAGCACTCCAATATTCTCCCAACACAGGTGCAGTTGTCTGTAGACAGTCAAGTGGAACTGGTGCTACGTTGGTGCTTTTCTGATTTATAACCCAGGAGGAATGCTTAGATCTAGGTGGCACCTGGCAAATGGTTGATTTAAGCCAACTTCTTCTTCCTCCTACGTTTGAGCTTCCTAACAGAAGCTCTCAAGTCTCTGTGAGCCTTTGCAGTCCTAGACTCTAGCTAAAAATTGTAAGTAGTTGCAAGTTCTGTTGGGAAAATATGATTGTATTACATTTCTACTCTGCTTTCTTTAGTCATATCCCTTGGCAGATATTAACAGAACAACCTACCAATCCTTAAAAGAGGTCCACGGGATGAGCTGCATTTCATAATACACACAGCTGGGAAAAGAGAGGCAGGGAGGCTTAGTGATTTACTTAAAGAGTAAACAGAGAAAAACTGATTTACAAATGTTCTCCAAATCCAGCATCCTGCTCATTCCTTTAAACCCAGAATTTCCAAACCGCATTCAGTCAAGCACACTTTCTCCACAAGTGATCAGTGGCACTGTGTCAAAGAAAAAAAAAAATCCTTTCCTGGTGTTACAGAAATAACGCTAGCCTTGGCATCCCATTTGTATCCCCCTTCCACTGTTTTGCATTAAAAGGCTGATTTTAAAGGCGTGTAGTTGTCCTTGAAGCTGCTGGTGGTCCATGGTCTGGAAAGTTAATAACCTTCAGCTCTAGGCTACGTCCTCCTCTGAGCTTTGAATCCTGAACTCTACTGGAAACCTTTGGAGTTCATCAGTCATCAGAGTGATTCCTTGACAATGAGGCGTAGTCTTGCTATTGATTGTGGTAAGCGTCTGCCACGCTACTGATGTGGGTCCAGCTGAGAGCTGGGGACCTCTGCTTGGCTGCTACCTCCCTGCCGTCTCTAGCATCTGCTCTAAAAGCTCTTGTTTATTTGCTACAACCAGGCCATCAGAATGACATAAACGTGCTTTTCCTTCATCACTTCATAATTTAAATAAGAGTGGACATGGTCATAAAGCATAGTGCAACTTTATTTAGCTTACATTCCATACCTCTTATTCCTGAGTTTACCCAAAAAACAGCTTAGCGCTCATCAAATGATCCACTGTGGCTTCACATTTTAAGCATATTTTAGTTATGTTTTCCTCATTCCTCAAATGCTCCATTAAGAAAAATCAACAAAAAACTCCACTACCCCTCTAAAAAAAAAAAAAAAAAACAACCCAAACCCCAAAGACAACAGGGGAAAAAAAGAAAAAACTGTCTGCATTTGCCTAAGTTGTGTATATGGATAGAAGTCTGGGTGGGGAACATTTACATCCATCTCCAGAAAATGGCATAATTCTTTGCAGTTAATAATGGTGGTTACTCAATCGCTGCTTGAACAAATGAAGTCCTTTGAGTTTCAAAATAATATTCATTCATGACTTTCAGTTTATCTCATGGTCCCGCTGAAACCACCCAGTTCACAAGAACTGCATATAAATGAAGCAGGAGCTAACTTAAATGAAGGGCAGTATTGTTGAATATTTTCATTAATCCATCACCTCTTGAAAAGACTCCAGAGTTGAGGAAAATCTTCCTGTGTGGTATTGCTCTTTTTTCAGACCTCGTCAAGACTGAAAGCCTTCTCTGTGAGAGGGCTTTCGGTGCAGAAAGAAGCAAAACAGGCTGGTTTGACAGAAGAACTCAGCTGGTTAGCACAGACTGAGAGCAAACAGTAGGAGACCGAATTAGGGAGAGATTTCATTGGTCTCCACACAATGGTAACCCTCATCCTGTTTTTAGACTATGTTAACCTCCACATCAAGGAATGTGGGCATAAAATATATCTTACAGGTCACTTGCTTTTTACTGAGAACAGGCAAAACCATCTACAATCTGTTAAAATAGGGATCAAGAACATTTTCTACGTAGTGAAGAGAGCAGTTACAGTAATGGTGATACCTTGGTATCACATAAAAGCCTCCAGATCTGTAAGGGGTGGACTTTCTGGTTTAACTGTAAGAGAGAGAAAGAGAAGAGAGACAGAGAGAAGTGGGGAGAAACAAAGATTTGTGGAAGATATGATCCACAACCTAAGTCTGTTTTCACATTGATCTTAATTTGGTTGCTCTTGCAATTTAATGATATTTTATAACGTCAATGGGGATGGCACTTGGCATGGGGGTATTCTAACATTTGTCTCCTTTGGAATCTGCATTTTCACAATCTAAGTAATATTGATATTGATATATACATATATATATATAACATACACATGTTCACAAAAGCTGACTCAGTCATGAAGATTAATCACAGTAATTATTTAATCATGAAAGTGCTTTCCCTTTTTTAACTTTCCAAACCCTTTTAGCAAACAGATTCCCAGATGAAATTTTGGTGTCTCTTTTCACAGGTAGCAGAAATATGCTGGATTTAAGAGTGTTTGAAAATTTTAGCTAAAAATGCAGCGATCCAGTTCTAGTTCACTAAATATCATGAGACTGATGTGCCAAAAATAAATGAGGAGTAACTCCCATGATGTTAGAAAACTACGTTAGGATCAAGAAATTAGAGGGGACTGAAAGATTCTTCTTATCCTGATATTTTCTAAAGAATTAATCTTTTAAATCAACTCATTTTCTCTCTCTTTTTTTTTTTTTTTTTTTTTTTTTTGGTGTCCTGTTTTTAAGGCACTAAGCTGCTTACAGAAGAAAAGCAAACAGTGATTATGGAAGATGAAGAAAAGGATGGAGACACAATCCCTAGTTAAGATTACAATGATATTTCCAATAATACCGTGTAAATAATTCTGGGTCATTCAAAGTGGCAGCGCATAGGAAAAAAAAAAAGTCCTTTCATTTTTATAAATAATTATTTTCTCAAGCATGCACTTGAATTTAAATTATCTTCAAGTGCTTATCTGCATCTCATGAAATCCCAGCAAGCATCATAGGGGGTGATGACAGAAATTTCACTTACATATGGGGTTGAAAGGATTCTCTTGGTTTACTAAAAGCGGCTTCCCAGGATTTTTGTCAATGAGGAATCTGCCTCAGATCAGATCTAGCTTTGTGCAGCGTGGTGATAAAGGTTAACACAGAGGACGCCACCAAGCCAGTATACCTGGCACTGGATACCATAGCAGTAAAACATCAACTAATGATTCAAATTGCATTTTTCTCCTGACATTTCCCCTCATTTGTCCAGCTTTGCTGGAAAAACATTGACGGCAGTGAAAAGTCCCACAAGCAGAGCTGATGGGATAGATGGAGAAGGTGGGGGAGTCCCTGGAATGCGAAGCAAACACTTCCTCTGCCTGTATCTGCTCCTGACTTGTGTTTGTGAGGAGAAAAGGGTAGATTTACCACAGAATGAAAACTTACAGCTAAGGGTTGTCAGCATTGACACATCCAACGGGATGGAGGGCAGAGCTCTCAGAAGAGAAGTGTATGGGAAGTGCCAGGCCTGCCTGTTACACCAGTGTAGACTATTGATTTTTTTTCTTTCAAAGGTTTTATTCCTGGGTTGGTGAAAGATAAACTAATCGGATATTTGATCCTTTTACTCCATATTTTTTCTTTTGACATATGCTTTATAAACTGAGTCTTAGGTTGTCAGTTATGAGGGGTTGCAAAGATTAAAAATCACAGTGGGAGAGTAAAAATTGAGTAAAAGGAATAGTGTTACTCCATGGCATACGCACACTGCAAGGTGGAGCAGCACCACGCTTTTTTTTTAATAGTTTACCTCATTGAGTCAAGAGTTGTTTTCACAGCCTGCTACAGTCTTCAGCGTTTATACAGAGACGGGTACTTGTAGAATATTGTACAAAATAGGTAGAACTGGGTAGTTTTGTGCTTACCTTAATAGCTCTGTGTGCTAGACGGAGCTGCACTGCCAGCTGGACCCTTAGGGACCTCAGCAGAGAGGTTAAAGATTATTTAGCCTGGCAGACTGAATTTAGTTATCTTTTTAACACCCTTAGGCAGCTGAAGAGCACACTAGTTTGGAATTCATCTGCCACAGTTACTGACCCAGCATCTTTCATGAGAACACAGTCCATTTGCAGATATTCAGCTTCAAGATGTAATCAACAAACTTATAATAAATAATCATGTATCCAAGTGTACAAGAGGCCAGCTAATTATTAATGGGATGCCTAATAGGAGGTGTAATTTTTTTTTTAATGCTGTTAATCTATCAGGGAGATGAGATAAAATTTAAATTATAATCAATCAGTAGTTCATATAAGAACATTCATGTAAGGTACACAGTAAAGCATGTCACACCAAGTACATGAGAAGAAATAAGTGCAATTTGAGTCCAGCTTTACCAGTGAAGCTGGTGAATATTTTCAGTGCACAGTACAGCAAAAGTGAGAGCATGGAAGCCTGAAAAGATTCAAATGAACATCAGCAATGAATTAGCTGCAAAAATGTATGTGTTTAGACATGAAGGCCCTTAACAACACAAGGCAGGAGCACAAATAGGATGTGACTGACTTCACTGAAGAGGATTTGTTTCCAATCCTGGGGAATGCTGACACAGCTCAATACGAAAAAAAAAAAAAAAAATGAGCACCCTTTAAGCCTAGCACTACATGTTCTTCACCAAAGAGGAGTTACGGTCACGGTGACATCTCTGATGGCATAGCAGCCTAATTTACCATCCCTGTATAGATCAACTTGAAGCCCAGCCATAAAAATGCCACAACATACATAATTTGCTGCAGTTCATTTAAAATTGCATATTCATAGCTTGGTAATTCAGCATTTACTATTTTTCCACCCAGGAGCAACACGAGTGACTTAAAAGTAATTTTTCACCTGATCAATTAAGTAAATAGGAGTTTTTGCACTGTTCATGGGAAGCAGTGAGATGAATCATTTCTCAAAGCTTTCACCTGCCTCATTGCACTCAGTGAAAGTGTTAAATGTTACTTTATTTGGGAATAACATACAATTTTTTTTTCAAATCAGATAAACACTGCCCCTTCCCCCAAAACAAAGCCTTTAGGTGCTGCAGAATGTGTGTGGACTGTATAATGTCATGCATGTGGTTAATTGGGTTGGTTCATTGCTGTTCAGGCTCTGAACTCTCCCTTTAAGACCAGATGGAGCTAAAACGGCACAAATTGCTCTCCTGGGCAAATGGCTGGAGTTGGTGTGTTCTGAGGCAGAAAGGCTTTTGTCCCCCCATGTCCCCAAAGGTCCCCCATGCCCATTACAGCAAAACCAGAAGGAAATGGAAACACAGGAACAGGCCAAGCCTTTCCATAGCACTGTCAGGGCTGGGATGCTCCAGTCTGAAGTCGCTTACGTTGTCTGCACACAGGCACTGACTGCTTAGGGGCTGCAGAAGCTGGATGGAATTCAGATATTTAGGTGGAACTGCATCTCACCCCAGAAGTCTGTGACAGGCAGGACAACCAGTCCAATGCCTCGGGGAGAATGAAGTGCTTCAGTCAGTGAATAAAAGACTGACTGCAGTCAGGAGGTTGAAAATGGCTAGTATTTCTGGAGCAAATTCTCAGTTAACCTCTACCTACAAACTCAGAGACAGGTCTCCATTTACAACAGGATTTGAACAAAGGGATTTAATGGCCTCCAACTTTTAACTCATGATTGCAGAAAGCCCATCACCCATCTGAAGGGGATGTAATGAGCATTTTTGCAGTGCTAAACATAAGGTACATAGGTTAAGTGACTTGCCCAGCTAACCACAGCAGAAACAAATCCAAAGCAACATTCATGATGCTATCACTAACTCACACTATATTCACAGATAAAGCAGCACTTGCACACTTTGAGTTTAGCAACACTTACACTGAATTTTGTCTGCTTGAAATTTTGTCTTACTGGTTAATAAATTGATATCTGTATAATGCTTTGATCACTTAAATTAATATATGTGTTTAGATATCATAACAGATTATCTTTCTGCATGTCTTATGCCATTCCTACCTTTTGAGATTACATTTTGTACGCATGACCTTACTGTATGCAGAGAGACTGCCCAGCAATCACATCTACAAGCGAAAACCAAAAGTGCACGTCAGTGATGCATGTTAGAAATTTTGGCATCTCTCTTGTATTTAGATAAATTCATAAACACTTACATCCTCCAAAAAGACATGGCCTCTTAGAGTGAGGGGGTACAAATAGAAATACCAGTGTTCTGGAAATGTAGTTCTACAAACAGGAAGAGTGAATATTAAAAGCCAGTTTCTACTCCATGATACTGGTTCCTGGTCCTGTGGGAGGAACCCATGTCAGACTGTCGGACCCAGGAGCTGTGAAGGGAAACTTAATCCATCCTTATATCTGACATCCTGAAGAATCCTGAAAAGACACAGACTGGACAGATGGACAAGCAGCAGCAAAATTAGAAAGCACATTCCAGAAATAAAAGAACCACTTTTGATGAAACATTTGTGCTTAGTCGTACAGGTGCGATGATCCCGTAAAATGCAAGCTGTGTATTTATAACCATGAAACACATTGCCACGAGCTTTGGATTTTTCCAAGCCACCAGGTTTTTTCCAACCTCCAAAGTAGGTTTTAGGCTCCCAGGTGGTCTTAGTGTCTGAGACAAAGTTATACCTATCGCAGATTTGGTTTTCTGTAGTCTGTTTAGCCTTGAGAAGACAGAGCCTAAAGGGATCTTATCAATATATATAAATGTCTGATGGGAGGATGTAAAGAAGAGGGAGCCAGGCTCTTCCCAGCGGTACTCACTGACAGGATGAGAGTCATTGGGCACAAACTGGAATACATGAAATGCCACTCACAAGTAAGAAAACATGTTTTTACTACTAAGCACTGACACACATAGCCCAGAGATGTTGTGGAGTCTCCATCCTTGGAGATTTTCAAAACCAAACTGGTTGCAGTCCTGAGTAACCTGCTCCAGTGGATCCTATTTGGACTGGCCAATTTCAGAGGTGTCATCCAGCCTCAGCGATTCTGCGACTATAGCCCAGGATCCATAGCAAGAGATCTGCTTGGTGATGCTTAGCAGGTCTGTGAGAGATCGGAATAAAGTTTGGGGTAAAGGGAGGAGTGCATATAAAAGGATAGTGAGGCATCAGTCAGAAGGACTTGTGCTGACCAGATACCTGAGTGACAGAAGTGAACGACAGGCCTCAGCAAGAAGGAGAAGGGAGGTGGAGACATGGCCAGTCCAGAACCAAATTTGCTTTATGAACCCAACTGTCTACCTCATGACTTAAAGAACTGGAAAGGCCCATTTAAGCTTCTGAGCCACGGCTCCTCCTTCCTCCTCCTCCCCTTCCTCGTTCATCTCTGCTCTGGCTGCTGCAATTTCCCTTGAGGATGTTGGAGCCAATCTTCCTTTCCAGTTCCTGTTTGTGTAGACATAGATATCCACAAAATATAAGGAATGAATACTCAAGAGTCTCTCTATGTCTCACTCACTGTGGATTTAAACAATCAGATTTTTAAATTCAGACTTTAATCCTTTTCTAAAAAAAATAAAAAACTCCCGCTCAAAAACCAGAGCACCAAACTTTTTTGCTGTAGCAAAGTGATCCAGTGATTAAAGCAAACACTCAGTTCACAAATGGACTAAAGAGAAAAAGGGCTAAATTTGAAAGTGTTGATAGTTTCAATGAGTAATTCGTAACAAATCTCATTGGCCTCATAAGTCAGAGATCATGAGACTTTCCAAGAGGTACAGATTACTCAGCCTTATTTCTATGCTGGCAGCAAGTGGTTATTGCAGAAATCATCAATGCAGAAAAAGGTCGAATGCATTGCAAAGCCAGACCTCTCCCAAATAATATAGATTTCATTTTTTAACTTCACACTTGGAAAACTTCCCTTTGGTGTACACTAGATGTCAGGGTTGGACTGAGAGGATGAGTCCATCCACCCATCACACAGCTCTGTGTATCAGGCTGGATGCCATCAGCACAACTAGTTTTGCTTAGGAATCATTTTTGTGAAGCACCCCATATTTACATGGAGCAGTCTGCACAAACATCCTCTCTTCCCCACTTTGCAGTACTTCATTTAAGCTGAAAGCCCCAGGCTTTGGAAGAGGAAAGAGACATCCTGAAATATCTTTGCAATACCAATGAGTATCTGCCAGCATTCTTCACCTTCCCCAGCTCCAGGAAAAATAAAAAATAAAAATGCTCTAAACCACTTGGGTGAACAGATATTTTCTGGAGGGGACTCTAATAGGCAGCAACTTGGCACAGCATGGACTCAGCTGGAGGAAACTGAGAGCAAAGAGGAACGTGATCAGAACTACATTAAATTTGTAGGAGCCATATACACTCTCCTTGACCCCAAGCAGGTAATTTCATTTCCCTGTGCCCTGACTACTGTGAGAGTCAACTTGTAACTCTCCAAAACGGGCTGACAAAAACAGCCTGAGAAAGAGATAAGGGATGGGTGGGAGCAGAGGACCTCTGAGCCAAGGAATGCCTCCAACACTTGTAAGTAACAAAACTATAGTCTTGGGGTGGATAATGTGGAGGTCAGAGCTGATAAGGCAGCCTGATTACCACAGGATGCACCTGGAGGAGAGGGCCCTGTGGAGACAGGACAGCTCTGCTCTGGTGCATCTTGTAAAGTTTCAAGGGCCATCTGTCTGGTGAATGACCTTTGCTTCATTATCCACGAAATGCATATTAAAGTTGATACCCCTGAGTATGCTACATCATCCCATGAAGCTCCCCATACATATAATATGTAGGGGTGTGGGTTGACCTAGGGGAGGGACCCAAGGAAAGTGTGTATAAATTGAGGCAGGGCAAGGAGTGAGGCAAGCAAGTGATCAGGAGAGAAAGGGAGCAAGGAATAGATAAAAAGAAGCAAGCAAGACGGATTCATCCCTGATGACCTCAACAGTACCAATGCAGGACCCTGGCCCGGTGATCTCTACTTCTCTATTCTCTCTCTCTCTCTCTTCTTTTCTTTTCCCCTATTCACTTGTTACCCTTAAGTAATGCAAGGCATACTGTATTGCTAGCCATAATTTGTTATATACTTAGCCAATTTTCGTGTATCCTATTAGTACGTTGTAGGAAATTAATAAATGTTTGTGCATGGACTTCAAGACTTGTCTCACCATTGTCTGCTCCACTGAGGATTTACGAATCTAAGTCACTTGTCTCCCTTGCCTGAATGGGACATGACTACACAGCAGTAAATTCAAGACGGTGACTTATCTCTGGTTCATGGTAAAGGAGAGTGTGGACCAGGAGAGCGAGGACAAAAATCACTCCCTTTGTGAGATGCTAGTGACACAAAAACAATATCCCCACCAAAGTATCAGTAATAATGAAAGGCAAAATAAAAACAGTTCCCTTTTTAACTTCTGCAAGTGGCTCAGTGTTGTCCACTTGTCCAGAGAACAGTCAGGTAAGACTCTGTTAACCAAAGGTGCCCTAAAGGGAAGTAAATGACACAGACAGAAGATGTGTTTGGAAGGATAGTATAATTTTGCATTTCTATACCGCCTATTTGTGTAAAACATTTCAAGGTATTCTACAAACAAAATACACCCACTGGTGCAGTTTTAATGTTGGACATAGTTACAAACTTGTAGCATATAACAGAATGTGAACTCACCGTGAGTGAACTTCTAGAAAATACAATAGAATTGGTAGGTAGCAGGGAAGCTTAGAACAGATAGGGGTCAGCCTAGCTTTTATAGAAGAAATTTTGTCTCACAAATCTCTGAGACTTCTTTGGAGGAGCCAAAAATGGTTTGCAGTTCTCCATTTTGACAAGGTCCTGCTCCAAAGGCTGTCAAAGCTACTGAGCTGTCATGAAAGAAGATCAAAACATATGATCATAAGATGGACAAATAACTGGTTAACAATAGGGGAAACTTAAAAAAAAAAAAGAAAGAAGTGGGATGAAATGTTCAGCATTCATAGTAAAGGAGGATTGCCCTCTCTGCTATTCCATGTGCTTATCCAGAATATGTGATTTGGAAAAGATGTTACAAGCAGGGAATAGAAATTAATAATGTTAGGTTAAAAAAAAAAAAAAAAAAGAAGAAAAAGAGAAAGAAAAAGAAGAAGAAGAAGAAGAAGAAGAAGAAGAAGAAGAAGAAGAAGAAGAAGAAGAAGAAGAAGAAGAAGAAGAAGAAGAAGAAGAAGAAGAAGAAGAGAAAGAAGAAGGAGAAGGAGCAGCAACGTCAGTGTAATTGACAAAACCATCAGTTCAGTGTTGGCAAGTGCAGAACAATGCATAAAGAGAGAGGCAAACCCAACTCCATATGTGCGTTTGGGCTATAAATTAATTAGGATTTACTACAGATAATTCTACAGAAACTACTACTCAGTGCTCAAGGAGGTTCAAAAAGGGAAGTACAACTTTAAAAACTATTCAGAAAGGCAGAAGATGAACCAGAAAATGTCATTACATTATAATATAAATTCATGGTATACCTGCTTGTTGAGTACTGTGTGCAGTGCTCATCTTCCCCTTTCAAAAAGAGATTAAAACAACAACAACAACAACTAATACATAGAGAAGAGCAGCAGGAAAGATAAAAAGTAGAGTAGGTTTGCTTGTGAGGAGAGTATGAACAGGACAGAGTTCACTGGCCTGGAAAGGAAGAGCTGAGGCAGTACATAAATCACCAGAGGCCTGGAGAAAGAGGTTACAGAGTTATTTGCCACTGTTTCTCATGGTATACAAATTGGGGGCAAGAGGAACTTTTTCAGAGAGGGCATGTTCAGTTGTGAATCTTGGGCCATGGGACACTCTGTGCACCACAATAACACATGGGATCAAACTCAGCTAAATTAATTCCACAAAAGACAGTGTTATTTAACATTCATCAGAGTTTGTGCAAAGAACAATTTTAATGCTGTGCTATGTCTTCTTTTTGCAATGAGTGAAGCAAAAAGACTCTGTGTTCCAGCCTTCTACCTTCACCCTCCTGATTACCTATCACGCCACGACAGGAGGACATTTATTCTTAGTACAGGTAGGCAAGAAAAAACTTTCCCATGATGTCTGAAATAGGAGTTGTCTTACCTGTGGCAGGTGGAAGGTCACATTGAGAACGCCAAAAGGAGCCCAACAATCTAGGAAAGCATTGGCTTCCTTAATCTGACAGGAGATAGTGGTATACAATCACTTCTTTTAAGGTAACAGCCCAGTATTTTAGTACTAAGTGGGCATATGTTACAATAAGGCTGCTATTGTGAACATGTCTATCAAAATGTCCATTATATTATTTAGTTAAATCATACACTTGCTTTTATCTAGAATTGCAGCTGCTGTACAACACAGTATGGCCTGTGCAATGGTTATACAATGTCCTCCATCTGCCTGGGAGGAGCATCATTCCAAAAGATGCCTCTTTATCTCTTCTATTTCCTATTCCAGCTCTGGGAAATATGTTGGATCTTCTTCATCCTTCCCCTCTGGTCAAGCAGCTTACATTTCACCAGATGTTCCTCTGATTTCTTGTGGAAGGCTGTGAAATAGTCTCCTGAGCTGTGAGTGGGCCTCCCGAGGTGGCGCAGCTGAGGTTTGATGGCTGGTGGTGACAAAGGAAGAACAACGCTGGTTACCGTGCCTAGCATTCACTCGATGGTGGACAAGAAATTAATTCCTCAGAAGTTGTGTCCATCCCACTTGGCACAGCCTGTCTGTGCAAAGGACGGTTTCTCAGCCTGAGAGCCAGGACTCTTTTGAGTCAATGGGTAGTTACAGAGGGCAAGGAAAAGGTTCAGGAAAAAAATGATGTGAAAGTATAAATCATAAATATAGATGTAAAACTCTAGAATGACACAGACATCTCCAAAATTGACATTTGGACAATTAAATACTTCAGAATACTTGATCTTGAAATCATGCCCTTATTCGGACATCCTAGAAGGCTACACCAACATAATCAAACCCCAAAAACGTTCTTAAGGTTAGTAAACAATCTTAGACAGAAGATGGAAGTGCTAAAAGCAACTTTATACTTGCCTATCTACATGTAGATAGCTAAACATCTCACTGTTTTCAAAATATCATTGAACAAGGTCATTTTATAGCAATAAATCCAGATTGAGATTACGTTTCCCAGAATTCAGGAACAGGTGGATCTGAGGGGTTTCATGATTTTCCAGTAAACTACAGGCCATTAGGAAAGTCACAAGTGGGCTATGCATAAATCTGAATATTCTCAACTTCTTGCCTTTGTTTATTTGAATCTTATGTCTTGCTTTCTTATATCTTTACATAGGTAGAACAAAAAATTAAACATGACTATGACCAAAATATATTTGTCTCATTTATTACTTGCAAAATAACCAAGTAATAAGTCAATAATTAGCATGATAAGCACTTTAAAAGAGAAGTCATTGCTCTCAGCATGAATCTTAAGAAGTGAAAAAGATTCCCTTGTGTGAGCTAGCTAACAACAAATGCTAGAACAGTCACACTCTCATCTTGTTAAACTCGTTGAGTGATTAATTGTACTCTAAAATGTCTTGGGAAACAAAAAAACTATGGATTTAATAAACTTTACAAATACATATCCAGATTTCTGCATAGTCATAATCTTTCTTGTTCTCAACTAGACTCAACTGACATTCATTAAAAGCTTGAAAAATATCCAGGTGAGTTACTGTTCTTTGAGGCACATTCACTTTTGAGATTAATTCCATTTTCTATACTCAGCATGGATTCAGCCAAACTGTTATTGGATTTTACATTGCTCAGCATGGGGGAATGTTTATTGCTAACCGGAATTTTACTGGAGTTACTGCCAGCAGAGATGACTTGGCTAATAGGTTTAAGGGGGTTTAGCCAGAACACTGACAGTGCTGTTTATCATCCTCATACAGGAGTTGATAAAGGGGATCCATGACATTTAATTTCTTCAGGCTTTAGTGACTCAGAGGAATGGGGAGAAGACTCTCTCTCAGGACTCTAGAGTTCTGTTCCCAGATTTCTCACTGACTTTTTGTGTGACCTGGACTATAACATTCACCCCAGTTTCCCCATGTGTAAAATGGGAATAAAAATGAGAATATTTGCCTCACAGGATTTTTGTGGGCTTCAGTAGGTTACCATTCTCAGGAGCTTCATGCATGGAGAGATGTAAGTATTACAAGTTTCTATCTAACCTTGATGCTGCCAAAAGACATTAATATTTCTTTTTTCCCTTAATTTAGGGAAAATAATTAGTTAGTCTTTAAGATCATGGTTATCATCAAGGCAATGAAAGCACAGAATAGGTATTTGGTCAGAGCCAGTGTAGACTAGAGTAGTTACACAAGTAGCATCACGCAGAGAGACTATCTGTGTGTCATTCAGACACTGATTTAGCAAGGAGGCCAAGAGTGCACTAGCCGCTCTGTTTGCTCTGGCCAGTGGGATGTGCAACCCAGCATCTTACAGACAGCAGCCCTGCATACCTCAGATTTGCCTAGGACGTCATCCACCCACTATTTCCTCCTATCCTTTCTTTGATACAACTCTTTTTTTGACTCTTGAGAGAGGTCAGGACTCCCTCTAGCTGCTTGGTATAAACACGTCCCTACATCAACATTATGCCTTGATTTGCTGAAGATATAATGGTCATCACAGATGAATGAACGAATGCCAGAGTACCATTTAGTAGACAACTGCAAATAAAAAATAAGCAATAAAAAATCAACTGCTGGGAAGATCTCACCCAGCACTAGTCCTCATGTTCTCCTTGCAGCATCACAGTTAAGGGCTGCCAACTTCATATCACCCTATGCCCTTCCTGAGGGGGACACACCTTTAACTGATGTCTGTATTTTCAGAGTTCTGCTAAGCAGAAGGGAGAGTAAAGCTTCTAATCTGCTTCTAGGTTTTTGGTAAAACCCTATAGGTTGGACCTGTTGCACCTTAGGTTTAAGTACAGATATTGTGTCAAAGGGGGGCAGGATTTGAGGATATCTGCAAACACATTTACAGCAGACCAACTAACAAGTTTCAGAAAACAATGCAACCTGTACAATGTTTATATGAAGGAACAAGAATTGTTCATTTCCACATCCCTCTTGGCCCCGCCATGCATAACACAAAAGCAGGCTACCACACTCCCTGCAACTCCAGCTAGAT